GGCTACACCTGCTTTTCTGTGGATGTTATTTGCTTGGAGAATCATTTCCACTTTTTCACTTTAAATCATTTCTAGATGATTTATCTATCTTTGATATCACTAATTCTTTCCTCCATCTGGTCAGCTCTATTTCCTATGCTTGCTAGTTCATAATTGATTTCTTTTATTGAGTTCTTCATCTCCAGAATTTCTGTTGGTCCTTTTCTAAAGTTTCAGTCTCTTTGGTAAAGTACTCATTTTGTTTGTTGATTTGGTTTCTGAGTTTGTTAAACTGCCTGTCTGTAGTATCTTGCATCTCATTGAGTTTTTTCAGAACTGCAATCTTGAATTCTCTGTCATTTAAATCATATATTTTCATGTCTTTAAGTTTATTTTCTGGAGTTTTTATTTTCTTTCTGAGCTGCCTCATTACCATGGTTATTCATGGTTTTTGATGGATTCTTTCTCTGTCTAGGCATCTATGTATAAGTGGCACTTCTCCAGTAGATTAATAAGCAGTCTTTCTATAGTTTTCCAGTAGGCGGTGCTGAATTACAAGCTTTTTAGCTTTCTTGCATTTCTCTAGCTTTTCAGATCTCCATGGGGTGATGGAAAATGGTCTATGTTCTCTGGGAAAGTGGGTGCTGCCCCTGTGATCCAGTCATTCTGGTTGCAGGGGACCAACCCCACAGGGGGAACACAGTGGGCAGTGGGGCTCCAAATACATGAAATCCCAGTGCTGTCCCCTGCAGCCAGACACCACCAGCAGTGCAGCCTCAATATGTGGGAATAGGGTAAATTAGGGGAACCTAGTTGCCTCCTTTGTTGCTTTGCCCTCTCAACGTTGGTGACCAGCAGACCTCTGTGGCACCCTCCTACACCTCCACCTGACTCTGGAATTAGTCAGAGTGTGCCCTTCACTCAGGTGAAAAAGTGTTTCTGTAGTAGTTTTCAAGCTTGCAGATAATGTGCTCTGCAACCTGACACAAAGGGTGAGGGGAGGCAAGCTCTGGGGGGTTAAGGGAAGGTAGCCAGGCTCTGTGGCTTTGTTTCTCTGTCTAGAATGCTGATTGCCAGACAACTGTGGCTGCACCTTTGTGCATCATCCCTGCCCAGGTCACTGGGCTCAGCTGCAGCTTGTACTACTCATTCCTGAAGGAATGTTTACTAAATCTCTTTGCTCCTCCGGGCTGAAGGGAGTGCCAGCCACAACTTGATTCCTCCCCTCTCTGGCTGAGCCCTGTTGTGAGCTTCTGGCTGCAGGGCTACATCCATGACTCCTTTGAGTTCTTCTCCCATCGCGCCTCCCTGGTTCACTCCCACTTGCCCAGCTTTAAATGTTTCAATGCATGGATGTCTCAGACATGTTTGTGCATTGAGCAGGGAATCCTCTGCTGAATTATAGCTATTCAAATTGTTGAAACTTCAGGGGGATAGATCAAGGGGATCGCCACCATTCCTCAGAGGCCACTCAGATGTTGCATTTTTATAAATTGAAGGCAAGACCCTCCACCAGCAAAAGGATTGTGGCTTGCCTTATTGCCATACTAGGTTTATTGCATTAGGCTTGAACCAAACCTGCAATATCTCCAAGGTATCCCTGTATACTAAACAGTAAGCTATCTTTAGAAGAAATTGATTGAGGTAATGAAAATAACATGCTATAAGGCTTCCTTAGATTCCTAAAGTGGCTTTTCCTTGGTATTTCTGCAGTCTTCTGACATCAGCAGAGAACTGAAAAGAAGCAGTTAACTGCTGTTCCTATGTTATTTACTCATGATTTTGCTTTCTCTAGAAATTGCCTTCCACAACAAATTGGACCAGGATTGGACCTGACTTAAGCTGGGGCAATCAGACATTCTTATCTGAAATTGTGAATCTGGACAGCAAGAACTGACCAAGTTTCTCAAATGTGGCTAGATTTTAAATGTTTAATTTTGGTAGCTATAAAAGGACCAGAAATATACTATATAGTCTAAGGAACAGGAGTACTTTCAAATGGTTGCTCTCAAACCAAAATCACTGAAGGAAAAAAAAGGTAGACTGACAAGAACTTAAAGCAAAGAAACAACAAAAAAATAGGAATTGATGCATTTAGTTAAGATTCATAATCCTTAGACATGATTAAAAGGAAATCTCAAGAAATTGCCACAAAGTCAGAAACACTGAAAAAACAGCTTATTTATTTATTCTTATTTTTAAAATTTTTATTTATTGCTCTTTCCAGTGTGCCTTGGTGGTCAGAGTGTCAGCCCATGCACCGAAGGGTTGCAGGTCACTCTGCAGCCCCGGTCGGGCACATGCAGGAACCAACCAATTGATGTATCCTTTTCATGTCAATGTTTCTCTCTCTCCAACTCTCTGTAAAAAAAATCAATGGAAAAAATATCCTCAGGTGAGGATTAAAAAAATACTGATTTTTTTTTTTTTTTTGAGACAGTGGGAGAGAAAGAAATATCAATTTTGTTGTTACACTTATTTATGCATTCATTGGTTGCTCCTTGTATGTGCTCAGACCAGGGATTGAACCTGCAACCTTGGCATATCAGGACAGCACTCTAACCAACTGAGCTACCCAGCCAGGGCGAGAGAGCTTAATTATAGTCAAACAAATTATATTGTTATTGCTTATTACATTTCATAAATGTGTTAGTGTAACCAGAACCAAATTTGGCTACCTGCTGCCACGAAAAGCCAGAGTCATGAGACCGAGGCTCATGATGAAAAAGGTTTATTCAAGTACCCTGAGAAGAAGGAAGACTACTGTTGCAAAACCCATCTCAACATCTCAGTGCAGGCAGACACTTTTATAAGGAGGGAGAGGGAAACAGAGCAAAGAAATCAAGGGAAGGGGTTGAAAAGTTCTCATCCATTCTGATAAGGGCGTTGAAAATGACCAAGTGATAGTCTAGCGTGTGTCATCATGATCTTCATCACCCAGGTTGTATGATCGAAGGTCACCAAACCTCCCAGAACTGGGATGACTGAAGGTCGGAGTATATATCTTCTGAAGTTAGTTACTAGAATTCTTGTACAAACATGTTGTTTATCCACAAATCAGAGTTAGCATTTACATAAACAATATCAAAAGAACAATGGGGTAGATGTGTTAGTTATATTACTGCTACTTCTGCAAAAAGTTGTATTTTGTTTTTATTATTCTGATAAATATTTTTGTGATATGAATAAAATTACTTTTAAAACCAACCATCTGGGGATGGGGAGGAGAGTGCCAAGGGGGTAAAAAAGGAGAAATATCTGTAACAAAAATAAAATTAAAAAATAAATAAAATAAAAAATAAAAATAGATAAAACCAACCATCTAATTTTATATTTTCTAGTTGAACAGGTTGACTAATTGCCAATTAAGAAAACATGCTTTATGGAGTATGGTAATAACATGTAAATCATGGTGAAAACATGCTAGTACATAAGTTCTCACATCCTCATAACTACTACTATTTGTTGTTATATAATGCCCTATATTCCAGGACACTGCTATGTTTTACACTCATCATTTCATTTAATACCCATTCTGAGGTAGAAACTATTTTATTTGACAGATGAGAACACTGAGAAAGTAAAATAGCTTTGCTACAGTCACCAGGCTATGAAGCCACATGGCTGGGGTTCCAAGCCAGTGGTTTTCTTCCAGAGCCAGTTGTTGTTTTTACTTAATCCTCACCTGAGGATATTTCTCCATTTATCTTCAGATAGAGTGGGAGGGAGGGAGAGAGAGAAACTTCGACATGAGAGGGACACATCATCAACTGGTTGCCTCCCGCACGACCCCGACCAGGGCTGGGAACGAACCGCAACCGAGGTACATGCCCTTGACCAGAATTGAACCTGCAACTCATTGGTCAGCGGGTTGACACTCTAATCGCTGAGCAAAAGTGGCCAGGGCCAGAGTTAGTTGTTTTAACCACCACACTAGCTGCTTCACAAACCTTGTTCCTGTGAACAACAGTATTTTCAAAGTAGGAACTATGAGGTCTAACACCAAAACAAAGCACTAGCAATTATTTTCCCTTTCATAAAGTTAATCCAGTCATTTCTCCCCCTCCCCTCATTCGGTAAAAGTTACAACATGCAGGATAGTAACTTTTTCCTGGAGTGAGAAGACTGTATCTATGCTAAATCAGTCTTTCATAATATAGCACAGACACTTTATCAGCAGAAACAAAATTGTGCTGTTTCTTCTTTTTTTTTAATCCTCACCCGAGGACATTTCTCCATTTTTTGTTCAGATAGAGTGGGAGGGAGAGAGAGGAAGAGAGAGAGAAACATCGATGTGAAAGGGACACATCGAGTGGCTGCCACCCACATGACCAACCAGGGCCGGGGACAAACTGCAACTGAGGTACGTGCCCTTAGCGGGAACTGAACCCGGGTCTCTCTGGACCACAGGCCAACGCTCTAACCGCTGAGCCAAACCGGCCAGGGCTGTGCTGTTTCTTTAACAATGCTTATCTACTTCCTTTTTGTAAAATTTATCTTTTATTTCAAATGACATATAAATCATTTATTTATTTATTTATTTATTTATTTTTAAATTAAAACCAAACACTATGCCCTGGCTAGTGTGGCTCAGTTGGTTGGAGCATCGTTTGGACACTGGATTCAATTCCCAGTCTGGACATACCTAGATTGTGGGTTCAGTCCCTGTTCAGGGCACATACAAGAAGGCAACCAATTGATGTTTCCCTCTCACATCAATGTTTCTCTCTCTCTCCCTTCCTCTCTCTCTATAATCAATGAAAATACCCTTGAGCAAGGATTAAACACACACATACACACACTAAACACAACTACAAATTTAGGTCCATACTGTTACTAGGACCCAAGGGCACAAAGGTTTCACAGACCATGTGCCTTACTTGGTTCTTCTCTCTCCTCCTAGTGATTCCTAAACTACCCTTTTAAAGGACTACAAGAATACATATACAACCTGCAGAATTCAACTTTAATCTTTTAGGAATTTTTAATTTACTGTTGTAAAAGTCAGGAAAAGTATATACTGATCAATCAATATAGATATTTCAAATACATATATTGACCAATATAAATATATGTATGTATTTAAATTTAAGGATAAGTAAAATGAGAGTATAATACCCCAATTCTTGGTTTTAAAGAAAAGGCAAGAGCACGTCACTGCCACGACAGGTGCTCGTGCTGACAGTTGTCACCAGGCTGACCAGCGAGCAGCCTGAGCACTGGCACTCTCTGGGCATGACAGCGTTAGCTCCCTTCCACTCCCCAGTGAGTTTCAAGTCCAGAACATTTTCAGTCCTTGTCTTGTTTATCTGATGAGGGGTTTCTAGGAAGATTTAGCAGTGCTTCAATTTTCTTAGCATCATCCTTGGATTGATTTTTCTGTAGGTTACTTTCAATTTCTTCAGGCAGGTGCTCAGTAAATTGTAGTCTGGCTTTCCTGTAATCAAAGAATAAAAAGCATATATCAAGTACTGTTTCACTTCTTTACTTCGTAGAAAGATTTTTTTAAAAGATAGCAATTTGTCTTATTATCCTTGCAACTTATGAGCAAACACAGCTCCTTGCACTTCAAATACAAGGATGTTCTTCTCTCTCCTAACCTGTTCTCCTCACAAGCCAACTAGAATTCTCATATTACCAAAATGGATGTTGCCACTGAGGCACAGAGTTGTTACAGGAGCAACATGCAGGAGCTGAAGCACTCTAGCTAGGGTGTGAGCCTTGCAACCTGGCTGTCCTCTTGCCACCCCCTGCCTCTGGCTGTCGGGGGGACACAAGACCCATGCCATTCTGTTAAGCTCTCTGTTGCCAGACCTTGTAGAAATTGCAGAGGCCATAATAACGGTAATCTTGGTACAGAAAAATCAGATGGGACAACACTATAGATGTATATATATGACGAATTAAAATCTAATTTCCAAATAACAGATCAGTTCTTCCTCTAAATCAAGTGTTACTGTCTTCCTTTCTTTAAGTGATTATCAGGGTCACCTATGACTTTCTTCACAACTCTTCACAACCAGACTTAACCATTTCTTCTTCCATATGGCTACAACCAGTTTTCTTTTTAAACATGTTTTCACTGAAATTTTTATAGAGAAAGGAAAGGAAAGAGAGATAGAAAAATCAATGTGAGAGAGAAACATCAATAGGCAGCCTCCTGCATGCCCCTCACTGGGTATTGAGCCCAAAACCCGGGCATGTGCCTTGACTAGGAATCGAACCAGGACCTCTCAGTCCATGGGATGACACTCAATCCCCTGAGCCACACCGGCTAGGCTACAGCCAGTTTTCTACTCACTAAGGCAATTTTTTAGACTCTTACTTTGATTCTCCTAGAGAAGCAGAAAGATAAAAGGTTCTTCATTATTTATTAAATTAATGCTCATCAGAAATATATATATTCATATCCTATACATTTTTGGTAGTATTTCCTTCTGTCAAAGTAGTCTTTCATTATGATAATTAATTATTTTTGTTCTTATCCATTCTTGAGGTTTTCCATTTCTGAATAACTGTTCAACTTCTCTAATATGACTTTTTAATTGAAATGAAATGATTTGTTCACATTTTTCAAAATGTTAATTCTTCCATACTTCCTATATCAGATTCATATAGCCAATGTACTTTCCTTATCTTTCCAACTCCTTTCTCAAAGTTTCCTTTTTAAAAAAGAAGTCTCTTATGATACCTAAGAGACATAAGAACTAGATATAACATAATGCTTTCACACTTTTAATTCTCCATATTAAATTTTATGCTGGCATTCAGAATTTTAAGTGCTCAATTCTAGAATCTACATAACTGCATATCCCATCCACCCTCTTGGTATGGAGAAGAAAAACAATAATATATTGAATACTGTGTTGTAATTCTGCCCTTAGAATGACTGAGAAAATGGAGGGTTCAAAGTTAAGAAAAGTGTCTAAGGTCACAAACTAGTTAAGAGTCTAGCTAGGATTTAAAAGCCTTGATTTCAAGGTTTCACTGGCTCCAAAAATCAGTGCTTTTTCTCCTATAGCACCTAAGTCCCTGTGATATTGTTATAATTAACTAATTATTAATAATAGGAAAGGAGCAAAAGGAGGCCGGATTTGCAGGCATGCCATCTGGGCAACTTCACCAGGAAGCTGCAATTTCACATTCCCCAGGGGTCCAACAAAGGGAGATAAATGCATGCCTAGGAAAGTTGGGGGTGACATAGAGAAAGTATTTGCCTGTCAGTCACATCAGGGAACAGAGGTTATTGGCCAAAATGGGCATGGCCACTGCAAGCCCATGAAGATTTGCGAATATATAATCTCCTAAACAAAAGAATTCTCTCGCTTGTCTCTTTTGTTGCTCCTGGCCTTCTTGCATTTGCCCATGTTTCCTCCATCACTATGTGGCCCTGCGGACCCCACATGCAGTGGACTGATGGACTGCAGCAGGAAAACACCAACTGAGCTGGCCTGACGTTGAATTTGACTGTACAGACAAGGAATGAAAGCTCTGGACACTGGCTTTGATTCTAGTTCTACTGAAGCCCCAGCTACACTTCTATGACTAGACTAAGGGGAATGGGACTTTGGAAACTCAGGGATTTAATTCCGCTCAAATAAAAATCACCCATGCAAATATCAGAAAATTCCACCCCCATCAGGACCTGGTGGGGGACCCCACCCCCACCCCACTTTCACACTCGGACAACAGATCTACAGATATTAAGAATTCCCGTGTCTCTATGTATGTTTAGCACAAATAGAAGTTTTAAGTATAAGCCTGGAAAAAGATGACTGCTTATCTATTCAACTATCAATGCAGCAGCTGCAGATGTCATCTTAGGTACCCAGGAAGCTGACCTGTGAGAATTTGTACCAGGAGCACTAGATGGCAGTCTGTTCTGTTGATCTTACAAAGACTCATCATGAAGTCTGCTATCAGTCTGACTACTGATCCCAGGGAATGACTACACGGAACTGGTGAAAGTTTTCATTCTCCTCAGTGGTATCCAGTCCATGTCCGGCAACTCTATCTACCTAACTCCTCTGCATCCACAGCAAGAAACAGAATCTCTGAATGTGGAGACTGAACATGTTCTGCATTCTTTATAGATATATGTGTAAGTCAGGATACCACCTTTTAAATAAAACCAAGTAAAGCTCACTCACTGGTGTGCATTAGGTAATTTCCTTATGTAGTCAAAAACAAAGGAGAAGAAAAAACATGCAATCAAATGAAATTTTATTTTACTTTAAAAAATATATATATATCTTAGGAAAGATCCTCATCAGATTATAAGATTAATGTCTTCCATTTTCCCATTCTCCTTAATTAAAAAGGAAGAAAGACCAGGTAGGGTACAAGTTGAAGGACTCGGTAAAAATAAACTCTTCTTTGAATTGAATGGCAGTTTCGAGCACTTAGGTTAAGACAACAGCACTGTGTAAGGCCTGCTTCTAGGAAGGTCAGATCTTAGCATGTTCCTTACCACTCTTCCAGTTTCAGCTCATAGAGTGCTTCTCGGTCCTTCCGTTTTCTCTCCTGAATTGTCTCACCATAGTACTTCTGAAGTGCCATCAACAGGCTTCCTATAGGAGTGCTGAGGAAGAAAGTAGAGGGGAAGCTTAGGAAAAACAAGCCATTAGACCAGGCAAGATGTGAATGTCTCTGCTAAGACATGAGTAATACCAATGGAGTCACATGTTCACTGACAGGTACAGGAACATTTGACAATTAAAGTGTCCTTGTCCAATAAAGAAAAAAAAATGAAGGCAATTTCCTTCCTGGTCTGAACAATAGAGAAAAACAATCACTGCAACTTCCTAAAAGTGATATAAAAACAACAGGTCTATAAATTGGCTAGTTTTTAATAAACAATTAACCAGGAAAATATATGTTTATGGAAAGTTCTACTAAGTAGCTTTATACTGAAGGTTTCTCAGAAATAAAATGAATACCAGGAATGGTATCAGATCTCCTCGGGGGTGGGTATTTTTGGTTCGGGGAAGAATGCTACTGGCTTTTGGGGCTGGAGTCACTAAAACATCCTAAATTCAAAAGTCCAGTTCAAAGGTCTCAGCCACAATGCCAATAATTACCTATTAAGAAACTGACTTACATAACAATTACTATAGTAAGGAAGAGGGTTTCTTTTATTTTCTTTTGGCTATCAAGCATTTTTTTACTGTTTATTGTTTAAAGTATTACAGATGTCCCCCCTTTGTCCCCATTGACCCCCTCCTTCCTGCTCCCACCCCCACTCCTGCTTTCCCTAACCTAATGACAGTGTCCACTGCTTGTGCATATATGCATATAAGTTCTCTGGTTTCTCTCTTTCCACCCTCCCCTCAACTCTGAGGTTTGTCAGTCTGTTCCCTACTTCCATGTCTCTGGGTCTATTTTGTCCATCAGCTTATTTTGTTTATTATATTCCACAAATAAGTGAGGTCATATGATATTTGTCTTTATCTGATTTTAATGGCAGAATACTCTACAGGTCCTCCCATGTCATCTCAAAGGGTAAGAGATCTCTCTTTTTAATGGCTGCAAAATACTCCATCATGTAAATGTACCACAGCTTTTTTATCCACTCATCTACTGATGGGCACTTGAGCTATTTCCAGATCTTAGCTATTGTAAACAGTGCTGCTATGAGCACAGATATGCATATATTCTTTCTGATTGATGTTTCAGGATTCTTAGGATATATTCCAAGAAGTGGGATCAAATGGCAGGTCCATCTTTAATTGTTTGAGGAAACACCATACTGTCTTCCATAATGGCTGCGCCAGTCTGCATTTCCACCAGCAGTGTACTAGAGTTCTCTTTTCTCCACACCCTCACCAACACTTGTTTGAGAATTTGTTGAAGGCCACAAATTCATTTAATTTGCATTTCTCTGATGATTAGAGATGTTAAGCATTTTTTCCCCTTTTGTCTCCTGGCCATTTGTATGTCCCTGCTTGGAGAAGTCTATTCAGGTCCTCTGCCCATTTTTTAATTGGATTGTCATCCTTTTGTTGAGTTGTATGAGTGCTCTATATATTTTGGATATTAACCCCTTATCTGATGTATCATTGGCAAATATGTTCTCGCAGAGAGTGGGTTCCCTTTTCATTTTGATGTTGGTTTCTTTTGCCATGCAGCTTTTTAGTTTGATGTAGTATCATTTAATGTTTTCCTTTCTCTTACGCTAGGTGATGTATCAGTGAAAATTCCACTATGTATGATGTCAGATTTTTCTGCCTACATTTTCTTCTAGGATTTTTATGGTTTCACAGGTTACATTTAAGTCTTTTATACATTTTTGAGTTTATTCTTGTGTATGGTATAAGTTGGTGGTCTAGTTTCATTTTTTTTTTTTTTTTTTTTGCATGTAGCTGTCCAATGTGCCCAACACCATTTACTGAAGAGACTATCTTTTCTTTGTTGTATGCTCTTGCCTCCTTTGTCAAATATTAATTGTGCATATTGTCTTGGGTCAATATCTGGGTTCTCTGTTCTGTGCCATTGATCTATATGCCTGTTCTTGTGCCAGGTTGTTTTGATTATGATGGCTTTGTAGTATAACTTGATATCTGGTATTGTGAACCCTCCCACTTCTTTTTCAAGATTGCTGTGGTTATTTGAGGTCTTTTTTGGTTCCACATAAACTTTTGGAGTATTTGTTCTAGATCTGTGAAATATGCTGTTGGTACCTGAATAGGGTTTGCATTGGATCTGTAAGATTGCTTTGGGTAGTATGGACATTTTAATGATATTGATTTTTCTGATCCATGAACATGGTATGTTTCCACTTTTTACATCTTCCTCTATTTCTTTTTTCAATGTCCTGTAGTTTTCTGAGAATGAGTGTTTTATCTCCTTGATTAAATTTATTTCTAGCCCTGGCCAGTTTGGCTCAGCGGTTAGAGCGTCGGCCTGCGGTCCTGAGAGACCCGGGTTCGGTTCCCGCTAAGGGCGCGTACCTCGGCTGCAGTTTGTCCCCGGCCCTGGTCGGTTGTGCGGGTGGCAGCCACTCGATGTGTTCCTTTCACATCGATGTTTCTCTCTCCCTCTCTGTTGCTCTCTCTCCCTCCCACTCTACCTGAACAAAAAATGGAAAAATGTCCTAGGGTGAGGATAAAAAAAATAAATAAATAAAATAAATAAATAAATTTATTTCTAGGTATTATATTTTTTGTTGTAATGGCAAATGGGATATTTTTAGTTTCCCTTTCTGTGTATTCTTTATGGGTATATAAGAATGCCATTGATTTCTGTATGTTAATTTTGTATCCTGCTACTTTTCCAAATTCATTTATTACATCTAGACTTTTGATGGAATCTTTAGGATTTTCTATGTACAATATCATGTCATCTGCAAATGAGTTTCACTTCCTCCTTTCCAATTTGAATCCCTTTTATTTTTTCTTGTCTAATTGCTGTGGCCAATACTTCCAGTACTACGTTATGTAAGAATGGTGAGCCCTGGCCGGTTTGGCTCAGAGATTGGAGCGTCGGCCTGCAAACCAGAGAGTCCTGGGTTCAGTTCCTGCTAGGGGCATCCCCCCCTCCCCCGCAAAAAAAAAAAAAAAAGAATGGTGAAAATGGGTATTCCTGTCCTGCTCCCGTTCTTAAGGGAAATGCTTTTAGTTTTTGCCCATTAAGTATGTTGGCTGGAGGTTTTTCATATATGGCCTTTATTATGTTGAGATATGATCCTTCTATTCTCACTTCACTGAGCGTTTATTAAAAATGGTGCTGGATTTTGTCAAATGCTTTTTCAGCATCTATTGATATGATTATATAGTTTTTGTCTTTCATTTTGTTTGTGTGATGTATCACATTTATTAATTTGCGATATTGTACCAGTCTTGCATCCCTGGGCTGAATCCCACTTGGTCATGGTGAATAATTTTTTTTAATGTACCGCTGGATCCGATTTGCTAATATTTTGTTTAGGATTTTGGCATCTATGTTCTAGGGTTTCTTTCTTATATTCTCAAAGAAAAGCAGTTTTTGGCTCTGATATAATTTAAATTTCCTCTGGCTACAACTTAAATAAGCTCATTTAAAAATTTATTTTTGCTATGTGGAAATGTCCATTGACAGACAAATGATGACAATGTCTATACAATGGAATATTATCCAGCCTTATAAAATGATACAATATGGATGAACTTCAAGGACATTATGTTAAGAAAAATAAGCCAGGCCCTGGCCGGTTTGGCTCAGTGGTTAGAGTGTCAGCCTGCGGTCCAGAGAGACCCAGGTTTGGTTCGTGCTAAGGGCATGTACCTCAGATGCAGTTTGTCCCTGGCTCTGGTTGGGTCGTGGGGGAGGCAGCCACTCGATGTGTCCCTTTCATGTCGATGTTTCTCTCTCTTTCTTCCTCTCTCTCCCTCCCACTGTATCTGAACAAAAAATGGAAAAATGTCTTCGGGTGAGGATTCAAAAAAAAGAAAAATAAGCCAGTTACAAAAGGATATAATTGCACTCATGTAAAGTATCTAAAGTGGTCAAAATCATAGAAACAGAAAATAGAAAGGTAGTTGCCAAGGGCTGAGGGGCAGGGAGAGGGAGAATCAGTGTTTAATGGGTACTGAGTTCCAGTTTTGCTACATGAAAAAGCTCTAGAGATCTGGGGTATAGTAATGTGAATATACTTAAAACCTCTGAACTATATGATTAAAAATGGTTAAGATAGTAACTTTTATGTTTTGGTTTTTTTCCTACAGTGAAAAGTTTATTTTTGTTACTGGCTTCAACAATTCTTCCCTTCAAACCAACCTAGTATACTAACAAAACAACAAAAATAATGTCAGCAATGGATTATGACATATTAAAATTAATTTTTAAAATTTTAATTAAAACAACAACAACACATAAATCTACAATGTTAGCTCCTCCTGAAAAGGGATTGAGAAAAGGGAGTGAGTAGATGGAGGAGAAGGGAGAACCCTTCTATTCAGGTGAATGCCAACTAATAAGAACAGAAGAAATGACAGAATAGCTAGTTAATGTTTTGCCTTTATAATAACTGATCACAGCATAGTTCATCAATGGATCATTAAAAATCACTAGAAGAGCCCTGGCCAGTTTGGCTCAGCGGTTAGAGCGTCGGCCTGCGGTCTGGAGAGACCCGGGTTCAGTTCCCACTAAGGGCACGTGCCTCGGTTGCAGTTTGTCCCTGGCCCTGGTTGGTCGTGCGGGTGGCAGCCACTCGATGTGTCCCTTTCACATCGATGTTTCTCTCTCTCTCTCTGTTCCTCTCTCTCCCTCCCACTCTACCTGAACAAAAAAAAAAACGGAAAAATGTCCTCGGGTGAGGATTAAAAAAAAAAAAAAAAAAATCACTAGAAGATAGCTGGAAAGCAGGCTATTCACAGACTCTCACCCCACAGAGTATTTATTCATCACAATGGGAAAAAGATACCTTTGCAGTAAAGAAATTTAGTAGATAACGAATGTGTATGCAGAATTCTAAAATGGCACCCTCAAATTTTCCTGCCCTCATAACTCAAATGTGAACATGATATGTCCATGATTATAATATGTTACATGGCAAATTGATTTTACAGATGAAATTAAGGTTACTAATCAGTTGAGTATGAGTTAATCAAAAAGGAGGTTATCTGGGTGAACCCTTTCCAAGCAGTTTTCTCTGGCTAGTGTTAAAGTGGAAGTGTTAAAGAGAGATTTGAAGTATAATTCAACATGCTGGTTGCTGGTTTGAACATGGAGGGATATTGTGAGGTGGAATGTGAATGCCCCTAGAAACAATGATGGCTGGCTGACAGCCAGCCAGGAAATAGGGACTTCAGACCTATTGCCACAAGGATTTTGTCAACAACCTGAGTGGTTTAGAAACAGATTCTTCCCTAATAAGAGCCTCCCTGGCCAACACCATGCTTTAGGCCTTGTGAAACTTTGAGCAGAGAACCCATTCAAACCTACCCAGAATCCTGACCTAAAGAACAATGATAAATGGAGCTGTTCTAGATGAAAGGAATCTAAACAGACACAATTACTAAATGTAATATACAACTGGATCCTAGACTTAAAAAATTTATATACACGTATTATTGTAATAACTAAAGAATTTTGAACACAGAACCTATCTTAGATAGTTGTACTGAACCAATGTTAAATTATTTATTGTGACAACTGTACTGTGATATCACTGGTCAATGTTCTTTTTTTTTTTTTTAAGGAAACAGCTCATTGGATAGAAGAATCTTCAGCAGATGTGATGTCATGGAGGCCAACAAAAGACAGAGTTTTTGCCCTGGCTGGTTTGGCTCAGTGGTTAGAGCATCGGCCTGCAGTCTGGAGAGACCCGGGTTCGGTTCCCACTAAGGGCACGTACCTCGGTTGCAGTTTGTCTCCAGCCCTGGTTGGGTCATGTCCCCAGTCCTGGTTGGGTCGTGTGGGGACACTCGATGTGTCCCTTTCACGTCGATGTTTCTCTCTCTCTCTCTCCCCCCTCCCACTCTATCTGAACAAAATATCAAAAATGTCCTTGAGTGAGGATAAAAAAAATAAAAATAAGAAAAAAAAATTAAAAAAAAAAGATAGAGTTTCAAGATGGTGGAAATAGCTCTGGCCAGGTGGATCAGTTGGTTGGACTGTTGTCCTGTGCACCAAAAAGGTGGCAGGTTCAATCCCCGGTTGGGGGTGCGTGTGGGAGGCAACCAATTGATCTCTCTCTCTCTTTCTCTCTCTCTTGGTGAGTGCAGGAGGCAACCAATTGATGTTTTTCTCTCAAATAGATGTCTCTCTCTCTCTCTCTTTCAGTGAGTGCAGGAGGTAGCTGATCAATGTTTCTCTCTCTCCCTCTCTAAAATCAATTTTAAAAAAGAAGTTAAAAAGAAAAAGGCTACCATTGATACCCCTTTATCTCCTCCATGAATTTCAAAAGTCTTTGTTATTCCCTAAAATAAGAAATAAAATGAACAGCCAAAATTGTGAGAATATAAGCATGTTTTAATACAAAGAAATATATCAATATTTTTGCTACTGAATATATCTATTTTACACATGTATGAGTACTTTTTAATTCATATGTTTCAGGCAGTATTGAAGAATCCTGAGAAGAATATCTCTTTTGCTACTGAGTGTAATTTTTTAACATCTGTATGATTAAAAGTTTTAAATTCAAAAGTCCCCGGCAATATTAAAAAATCCTATTATACAAATATTAGTAGCAGCATTATAACTCTAATGATTTACAATTCAAAAGAAAAGAGAATATGTCTATCTTCATAAAAAGAGATATAATAGAACTTCTAACCACCATATAATTTTCCCCCAAAAGACATATCAAACCAATAATTTTTGTAATACTTTATTTAATTCTCTAAGATCTTCTCAAACTGGGCAGTGCACATTTCTCCACAAAGGAAAAGAACAGTGCTCCATGCCATCATCAGTTTTATCTGTAAACATTCTGAATATGCATAATTATTGTGTCTTATAAACCTGCAATGACAGGATCTAAATATTCTACACTTGGGATCTAGAATGGCCTTTGAAAAAGATACTCCATCTTCTGAAGAGAGTGGAAAGGATTGGCCTAAGTTCTTGTTCTTATTCAATAACCACTGGGTAAGCTCTAAGAAAGCATCAAACACATCTAGAGGAAGGGTTGTGTTACTTTTAGAATGACCACCTTGCCTTTTGTAGGTGAAACCTGGTAGACGTTTAAATTGACTGTTTCAAGTGATATAGAATGCAAGGGCAGGCTGAAGCCATCAGGCCTATAAGCATTGTCCAGTTGTCAGTTGTGTCAAAATCTCCTCGTAATATTTTTTTAATTTTTTTTCTTTTAAATGAAAAGAAGAATGAAGAGAGAAATAGAAATAGAAATATTGATGTGAGAGAGAAACATCAATCGGCTGCCTCCTGCATGCCCCCTCCTGGGGATCGAGCCCGAAACTCGGGCATGTGCCCTGACTGGGAATCTAACCAGGACCTCTCAGCCCATGGGACGATGCTTAATCCACTGAGCCACACCGGCCGAGCTCTCCTCGTAATATTTAATAATACCTAGGAAATGCTGTTGAAGTCACCATATGGGAAAACACATCAGATTACAAAGGAGCAGACAGCAGAGTTACCTAAGTGTACAGAAACATAGCAGCCCCTGAAATTGAGAAATCAAGTACACTAGCAATCATGTAAGTGGCCAGCAAGCAGTGCCACAGACCCCCCAGAAATCCAGATCTCAGGGGAAATCCTTGTTCACAATGTATAAAGATTCCTCTTGGAGGAATTACAAATTTCTGAAGCAATGATTTCTAGGAGACACTGAAAGGCAGTAGGTACTGTAGTATTGTTCTCCATAATTTATCAGTGAGGATGCCCAACTGGATGCTTGGAAATCGCTGATGGGAATGCAAACCGGAAAACAGTTTGGAAGTTTCTAAGAAACTTACATTTCTAAGAAACACTGATTGGCTGCCTCCCACATGCACCCTGATTGGGGAATTGAGCCCACAACCTAGGCATATGCCCTGACCAAAAATTGAACCAGCAACCTTTCAGTGCACAGGGTGATCCTCAAACAACTGAGCCACACCGGCCAGGGCATGGACTTGCCTTTTCTTGATACTTCATATAAGTAGAATCATACAATATGTGCCCTTTTGTCTTGGGTTTAATTTAGAATACTATTTTCAAGGATTACTCATGTTGTAGTATGACGCAATACCTCATTTTTTTATGACTGAATATTATATAGTATAGTTATACCACATTCTGTTTATTGGCAATGAACAATGTTCCTATCCTGGGAGATACACACTGATATATTTAGGGGTGCAGAATTATGAGGTCTCAAATGGTTTAATCAAAAAGAAAAAGAAATATACACATATCTACCCATACACAGAGATAGAAAACAAATATGGCAAATTGTTGCCTGGCTGATGTGGCTCACTGGCTGAGCATCGACCCCATGCACCAAGAGGTCACCGGTTTGATTCCTGGTCAGGGCACATGCCCAGGATGTGGGCCAGATCCCCAGTGAGGGGCATGAAGGAGGCAGCCAATTGATGTTCTTTCTCATCGATGTTCCCATCTCTCTCTCCCTCTCCCTTCCTCTCTCTCTAAAATCAATAAAGAAAAAAAAAACAACAAAATGAAATATGGCAAATTGTTAACAGCTGGTGAATCTAAGTGAAGGGTATATAGGTGTTCAATGTACTAATTCACTCAATGTACTCTTCTGTAGGTTCAGAATTTTTCGAAGTAAAAAGTTAAAGAGGAAAAGTTTCCTTTTAATTTATTAAACTAAACAAACAAAACTGAAACTTGTACCTTTGTTCAAACTACAAACAGTTTCAGATGTTAGTGATATTTAAAGAGTTTTTACCCAGTGAAAACTGGAAGTAAATGAACAATTGGGATAGAATTAGAATTGGAAATTCAAAGCTACTACCAATATGAGACTAGAGATCTCTGTTCTTTAGAAATGAATGAGATGTTTAACAGGCAAGGCATTAATGAAAGCTGTAGTAATTCAGAATCAAACCATGTTAACACTTACCCTAGCAAGGCTCCAATTATGCCACCAGCTACCAGACCACGCAGGCCTAAACTTATTCTAAAAAGACTTCCTGTGACAGCTATTTAGAAACAAACACAGAAAAATGGCATCATTAAAGTCATCTTTAAGCACTAGAATTCTATTTTTAAAGTTTCCTTCTATGAAAAGGGCATAAATACCCAAGTAAGCTTTCTGAGACCAATATTAATATATTACCACAACCTAGATTTCCTGAATCTAAAATGCCAGTACAGCCAGCTTCTCTTCTATTCTGCAGGTTCAAAGGAAAAAATGTTCCTTTTACAAAACAAATTCCTCAATTTGTTCTATGGATCAAACCTCTTCTAATTTTACTTCATTTTTGCCCACCTCTCCTTAAAAATCTGTAATTTCTTCACTTCCACCTCTTTCATTTCTTCCTTCTTTCCCCAAATAAACAAAAAACCCTGGAGCATATGCCTTCCCTCTTTCGGTAATGCTACACTACACCTCTCACGTAGGCCTGAAAGGGGGCAGCATCTGGCTTACAATGCCACCTGGTGGCAGGTGCACAGGTCCTGTTTCCTTCCCACTGAGATTGTTCACCCAAAATGGTCCTTCGTTTTCCTCTTTTACTATGCACAACACAACTAATTCCATTATCCAAAGACATTAATAAAATTTATTTTTGCTAGTTTTCTTTTCCAAACAAAATATTTTTTAAAAACCTACTAGAATAGCCAAAATATGGAACACTAACGCCAAATGCTTGCGAAGGTGTGCAACGACAGAAACTCGTTCATTCCTGTTGGAAATGTAAAATGGTACAGCCGCATTGAAGGACAGTTTGGCAGTTTTTTATAAAACCAAACATTGCCCTGGCTGGTTTAGCTCAGCAGTTAGAGCATTGGCCCAAGGACCAAAGAGTCGCGGGTTTGATTCTGGTCAAGGGCGTGTGCTTCGGTTGCAGTTTGGTCTCCGGCCCTGGTTGTGATCATGCAGAAGGCAACTAGTCAATGTGTCTCTCTCACATTGATGTTCCCCACCACCACCACCACCACCACTCTATCTGAAGATAAATGGAAAAATATCCTTGGGTGAGGATTTAAAAAAATTTTTTTTAATTAATTAAAAAATAAATAAAACCAAACATACTCTTACCATATGATGTAGCAATCACACTCCTTAGTATTTACCCAAAAAAGTTTAAATTTTTTGTCCACGCAAAAATCTGTACACTCATTTACAGTAGCTTTGTTCACAACTGTCAAAACTTGGAATCAACCAAGATGTCCTTCACTAGGTGATGGATAAATGAACTGTGGTACATCCAGACAATGGAATATTATTCAGCACTAAAAAGAAATAAGCTATCATCTTATAAAAAGACAGAGAGGAACCTTAAATGCATATTACTAAATGAAAGAAGCCCATCTGGAAAAGCTACATACTATGTGATTCTAACTCTATAACATTTTTTAGTTTTTAAAGATAGGTGGATGCGTGATTACTCAATTGAGATCTTTCTCTTTTTATTATTTATTTATTTATTTATTTTAAACATTTTTTATTAATTTTTAGAGAGAAAGGAAGGGAGAGGGAGAGACAGAGAGAAACATCGATGTGAGAGCAGAACTTTGACCTACTAGGAATCTAGCCCACACCCAGGCACATGCCCTGACCAGGAATAAAACCGGCAACCCTTTGGTGCATGGGATGATGCCCAACTAACCGCGCCACACTGGCCAGGATATGAGATCTTCCTTTTTTTTAATATAGGTATTTATAGCTATAAATTTCCTTCTCGGCACTAATTTGCCTATATCTCATAAATTTTGATATAATGTGCTTTCATTTTCATTCAACTCAACATATTTCATTTAGATCATGCATTAGAAGGGATGGAAAGATGGGTGCTGATCACATTAACTGCTGATGGGCAAGTCACGCTTTTACCATGTGATAAGCTGTACTTAGATTCAAACTTCTTAGAAAATCTTTTGTCCACTGAAAAAAAGACTGAAGAAATCATGAAGGAAGGCAAGAAATTTCACTGAGTAGTGATATACAGTAGCCATGTTTATAGTATCCACATGACTGTTCAGTCAGAGTATAAACATGTTTATCCTAAGACCTATGTAGTAAATTAGAGCCATTTGTAGTGTATTGCTTGTTTGTAAGCTGGTCAACTTGAAGTTGTCCTAATAAATGAGGGACAACTACACTTGCTTAGAACTTAAGGAACTTTGTGTCTGTATAATTTATTGTACAGTCTTTTATATTTCAAGTATATTATGGTGCTCTCTTACATATTTTATTTAAACCATACAGTGTCACACAAGGTTCATTTTTATGCAGTATAATTTCTACTGAAATGAAAAAAATTTCACAAGGTTTTCTGCTTCTATATTGTTTTATTCTCAAAATTTTAAATAAGCTGTTCTACAGCCATTGTTTTTTAAATATTCAGTGTATTAGTACTTTCCTTGATGTGCTTAGGAGATTGATCCATGAATTCCGTATACTTTCTGCTAGAGTTAACTTAAGGGTGTCTGATTACATGATGAACAATAGACTTAGACAACCTTTTAGTGACAATGTCACTATTTTTTGGTTATGTCTTTACCTTGATTAAGATACAATTCTGTTGAAACCCAAATGGCATTATTTATTAGGTTTATCAAATTGGAAATTTGTCTTAGTTAATATTTTAAAGAAATATGAAGCCATTTCAAAAGCCATAACTATTTTTACTCTGGAGGCTAGTTAATGAAACAAAGAGATTAGAGAGAAGTAGAATTATTCATCATTTAATGGTGTGTATTAAAGATGTTTATTTTCAGTACTTTTAATATGGGTAATTTTTCACCTCTTCTTAAGGGCAATAATATTTATTGATTAAAGATGGAAAATGGTTACAACACCAATTGTATTTAAGATCTTAGACTGTATTATGCATCATAAAACTATCTAATTTTTCATAAAATGTGTTGTTTTTTTTTTTAATCCCCACTCGAGGACATTTTTCCATTCTTTTTCAGATAGTGGGAGGGAGAGAGAAGAGAGAGAGAAACATCGACGTGAAAAGGACACACTGAGTGGCTGCCTCCTGCACGACCCCAACCAGGGCCGGGGATGAATCGCAACCAAGGTATGCATCCTTGACCAGAATTGAACCAGTGACTCATTGGTCTGTGGGTCAACCCTCTAACCACTAAGCCAAACTAGCCAGGGCAAAATGTGTTAATTTTTCTACTTAAAAAATGCACATATTGATGAATTTAAAAAAATATATTTCGTTTATCTTGTGACTCCTCTTTGGTTTATGGGTTACTTATAAATGTGTGTTTAACTGCTAAATAGTTGTGGATTTCCCCCATATTTTTGTTAATTCCATTGAGATAAAAAAAACATACTTTATTATTTCAATCCTTTAAAATTTAGTGATATTTGTTTCATGGCCTTGCCTATGTTTAACCTGGAGAATGTCCCATGTGCACTTGAAAAGAATGTGTATTCTACTATTGTTGGGTGGAGTATACTAGAGATGTCAGTTAGGTCACATGGTTGATAGTGTTGTTCAAGACTTCTGTATCTTTGTTGATTTTCCCTCTACTTGTTTTATCCATTATTAAATGCAGGGTACTAAAGTCTTCAACTTCTGTTATCGAGTTGTCTATTTCTCATTTCAATTCCAAGTGTTTAAATCTATTCCTATTTAATGTTATTGATACGGTTGGATTCTGGTCTGCCATTTGCTATTTGTTTTGTGTTTTGGAGCTCTATTGTTAAATGCATACCTGTTTCTAAATGTTATAGCTTCTTGATGGATTGGCCCTTTTAACATTATAAAATATCCTTCTCTCTCTAGCATTCTGTCTTAAAGTATATTTTGTCTGAAATTAGTATAGTCATTCTAGCTCTTCTTCATACTGTTTGCATAGTATATCTTTTTCCACCTTTTTACTTTTAATTTCTTCAAGCCTAAAGTATATCTCTTGTAGACAACATATAGTTGGATTTTTTTTACATAAGTTGGACAATCTCTCGTTATTGATTGGAGTGTTAAATCTATTCCTATTTAATGTTATTGATACGGTTGGATTCTGGTATGCCATTTGCTATTTGTTTTCTATATATTTTTTCTATATATCTTATTTAATTTCCTTTTGACTTTGTTACTACTTTTGAAAGTTACTTTTTTCTCCCACTGGCCCATATGGCTCAGCGATAAGAGCATCGCCCACGGACCAAAGAGTCCTGGGTTCAATTCCAGCCAAGGGCAGGTACCTCAGTTGTGGTTCATCCTGGCCCCGGTTGGGGTTGTGCGGGTGGCAACCCATCAGTGTCTCTCTCACATCCATGTTTCTCTCTCTCTCTCTCTCTACCTCCCTCTTTTCCTCCAACTCTATCTGAAGATTAACGTAAAAGAAAAAGTTACTTTCGTCTTACTTGCTTTAGGGATATACTATGCATCTCAATTTGTCACAATCTACTTCTGATAAGTACTAATTTAATCCCAGTAAAATGTAGAAACATTGTTCCATATAGCCCACTCCTCTCCCATCTTTGTATTTTACATATGTTTAAAAAAAAACACAGCCCTGGTCAATTTAACTCAGCAGTTAGATCATCAGCCTGCAGACTAAAGGGTTGTGGGTTTGATTTTGGTCGGGGGCACACACCTGGGTTGCAGGTTCTATCCTCGGCCATGGTCAGGGTCATGCAGGAGGCAACGAATCAACTCGCTCACATCGATGTGTCTCTCTCCCTCTCTCTCTCTGTCTCTCCCTCCCTCCCTCTATCTAAAAATCAATGGAAAAATAGCAAGTGAGGATTAAAAAAAAGAAACCCCACAATGTTATTATTTTTATTTTACAACCATATGTATTTTTTAAAGGGGGAAAACAGTTAAGAAAAAAGAAGCAATAGATTTACAAAGTCTCTTATATTAACCTACATAATTACCACTTCTAGTACTTTTCATTTCTTCCTGTGGAGTCAAGTTACTATTTCCTTGCTTCAATATATCTCCATTTCTTCCCTCTCTTTTGTGCTATTAATGTCATATATAGCTTTAAATGTTATATGCCCAACACTTCAATGAAATTTTCGTTTCCATTATTGTATTTATCAACTCCAGAATTTTCATTTTTTAAAATAATTTCTCTTTACTGACATTCTCTATTTGATGAGTCATTGTCATCACACTTAAATTCTTTAAAAATGGCTTGCAGTCTTTTGTCTGCTATGTGAAACAGATAATCCTTGTCAAACACATTCCCAATGCTTTTTTCTTTTACCCCATTTTTGCATGTCTTGTGACTTTGCTGTTGTTGAAAACTGGACATTTTAGGTAAAAAATTATAGCAATTCTGGATTTGGAATATCTCCCTACCCAGGGGCATGGCTGTGGTTATTTGTTTATGGAATGACTTTCCTGGACCAACCTTATGGAGTCTTTTATTCTGTAGAGTGCAGCTACTGATAGTCTCTGCTCAGGTTTTATTTTTATGTCTGGCTTCCTAGGAATCATACCAGCTTAGCAGTCAGCCAGGGATTTGTCAGAGGTTATGCTTAAACATCTGAAGCCAGGGTTTCCATCTTTTGTCAATGAATCTGTCTGTAGCTTGAAGAATGTATTCAAAATTTAGGCAATTTAGAAATCTTTTCTAGCTTTTACTTTCTGTGTTCACAAGGCCTCACAATTAACCAAGATAAATAGCTTGCTAGAGTTCTTACCAATCTCTCCTGAGTATGCATGGATATTTGTACATGTGCACAACTTTTCCAGAGTTCTGGGGATTAGTAGAATCTTATTAAAGCTCTCTTTGGCTGTCTTGTTCCATGTTAAAATTCTGCCTCATCTGCCAGTCTATTGTTTGCCCCAAACAGTATCAAAACCTCAGGATAGCTGTGTGATACTGTCCTTCCCTGACTATTTGCAAATGTTTTCAGTGTCACCTGCAGGCATGGAATTTTCTGTGCTCTGCTGCAAATAAAGTCAGCTACCTCAGCAGCAGAACTATTTATCCTCCTAACCTGCCCTGCAGTTGTAGAACTTCTCTGTATCATGGGGCTGGGGGTTAGGGGGTAGGAGCAGCCGCAGGCTGAAACACTACTGATTCCCATTGTTCTTGTTGAGAGTCAATAGAAATTCTTGAATAAATGCCTCTCAATGAAAAATCTGGCCCCTTGCTACTTTAACTCACCAATTTCATCTCAAGCCACTCTTAACCCCCATTCACTATATTCTAGTCATATTACCCTGTTTTTGAGAAGCTTTCTTGCCTAAGAGCCAACCCGCTTGATATTCCCTCTGCCTAGGCTACACTTCATAAGTCTAGCTCCTTCCCATTCTTCAGGTATCAGCTTAAATGTCACTTCCTCAGAAAGGCCTTCTCTAATCACCCTGTCCACATTAGATCCCACTGCTCCACCTATTTGGTACTTTCTATCACAACAACCTGTTTTTCCCATCCATATTAGGCTGTAACAATCCATAAAAGCTAAGCCCTTGCCCTGGCTGGTTTGGCTCAGAGGTTAGAGCGTCGGCCTGCGGTCTGGCGACACCCAGGTTCAGTTCCTGCTAAGAGCACGTACCTCGGTTGCAGTTTGTCCCCAGCCCTGGTTGGGTCGTGTGTGTGGCAACCACTTGATGTGTCCCTTTCATGTCAATGTTTCACTCTCTCTCTCTCTCCCCCTCCCACTCTATCTCAACAAAATATCAAAAAAAAAAAATGTCCTCAGGTGAGGATATATAAAAAAAAAAAGAAAAGCTAAGGCTTTTTCTGTTTTGTTCATCAAGTATACCACAGATCAAGTATAATACTCTATACACTTTGCATAAATTTTGAATAAGCCAACCAAAGAATTCAGTAGCTATGGCTTATAAGTCTTTACATATTTCCTAAACCATATTTGAGATTGAAAAACATAAACAAGAAAAATGTCTTACCTCCTGCGATGACGTAATGGCTTAGGGCATTTTTATCTCGGTATGCATTTAGACCAGTGTTCACTGTGCTGGAGAAAAGGGAGGAGGAAAACATAGAGTTTGAAGCATATCTATCCCAATTACCTTCTTGAATGCAACTTTCACTAAAGAGATATGTATTAGTTTAGAAGGGCATACTATGTCCATCCCTGGTCCCACTTAGGTTCTTAAATGTGCTTCATATTGCAAATATGCCTATGAGGTTCTAGATGGACCTTCTGCCAATAAAGAATGAACCATAAAACAATCAAATTTCTAGAATAAATATTCACTTAAAAATAGAAAGGTAAGCCCTGGCCAGTTTAGCTCAGCGGTTAGAGCGTCGGTCTGCGGTCCCAAGAGACCCGGGTTCGGTTCCCACTAAGGGCATGTACTTGGGTTGCAGTTTGTCCCCGGCTCTGCTTGGGTCGTGCGGGTAGCAGCCACTCGATGTGTCCCTTTCACATTGATGTTTCTCTCTCTCTCTCCCTCCCACTCTATCTGAATAAAAAATGGAAAAATGTCCTCGGATGGGGATAAAAAAAAAAAATTAAAAAAAAAAAAAAATAGAAAGGTAAAGAAGAGTTTTCCAGAATTTCTTTTATTTAGAAACCTTGTATCTATTTTGATACTAGTTGGTAGATCTCCATTCATGAATGTGAAAACAACTACAACAATCTTTGACACAGACAACAGTTGAGAAAAAGATATTATGAATCACTTTCATGTGGGTGTTCATTTTTCATAATCCCACTTGCCCAAAAGATATGCTGATAAAAGAATACCAAGACCCTTTGTCACAATTCAAAGAGAACTTACTTGAATATAGTCACAAACATTGCAGTTCTCCAGCTCCAGCGCCAGCCATACCGGATGAAGCCTCGAGTAGCAGCACGGTGCGCAGATTGCTAAAGTTAAAAAAAAGGCTGTGAGGTTCCAAGTCACCTTGATACTTTCCTTATTCTAAAACTGTGGTGGAGGGATGTCAGCTATGGATTAGACAGTGACACCTAAACAGAAACAAAAAAAAATCTCTAGAAATGTAATTCCTTAACTATTTAAGCTTAAGCAAAAGTCCCATGTGCATCCTATTCTATCAGGAGATAGCAAAGAAACTAAGAATTGCCAGTATCAGCTAGGTTATCCATCAGTTAAGTAACACCAAGAACCTATATGGCAAAGACTATGGCAGTCACAAAATCAGTATTAGATATGATGCTTTCTTTTTTTCAAGAAATCTTGGGGAAAAGATAAACAGAAAGAACTGAGTAAATGGTAAATTAAATGGTGAGAATTAAAGTAATACAGGTGTGTAGGAAAGCAGCAGAGGAAGAAAAAAAATTAATATTTACTGACCACGTTCTATGTAAAACTTGTGTTAACATATTACCTCATTTAATCTTTACAATATTCTCTTCAGCCAGACGTTTTAGTTTTAACTAAAGTATAGATAGAAAGTTTCTAGCCAAGATCAGTCAATGAGGAATAAAGTCAGAATTGGAAAGTAAGTGGTCTGGCTCCACAGCCGATTGTCACTAGACTGCCATAAAATCAGGTCTTGTATAATATCATGAGGGTCAAATTTTCTTGGTTTTTAAAGAATCTGAGAGAATCCCTGATTCTAAACTACTATATGATATTGGGCAAGTCAAAACCACTCTGAAAGGTATCAGTATGAACTCTTGGCTTTTAATAAGTAGGTAAAGAAGAAGATACATATGTATGTAGGAATGTGTACATGAATATAAATCACACACACACACACTTCCTAACTCATTCTGCCTAGGGCCTAGAAGCCATGACACACCAGTAGCAATGATCACACTTAGCATCAAATCTTGTTTTGTTTTGATCTTTATTGTTGAATGTATTACAGACGTTCCTCATTTTTCTTCCATTGACCCCCTCTTGCCCCACCCTGCCCCCCTCTTGCCTTTTCCCACACTGTTGTCTGTGTCCACTGGTTATGCAATATAGGCATATACGTTCTTTGATTTCTTCCCACTCCCAACCCCCTTCTCTTTGAGATTTGTCAGTCTAGCAACCAATTTTTTGTTCTTAATCCCTTCACCTTTTTCACCCATTCCCCCAACCTCCCTCCCATCTGGCAACCAACAAAATGTTCTCTATATCTATGAGAATGTTTGTTTTGCTTGTTCATTTTGTTTGTAGATTCAATTGTTGATAGATATGTATTCATTGCCATATTGTTTGTTCATATTTTTTACTTTTCTTCAAAAAGAACCTTCAACATTTCATATAATAATGGGTTGGTGGTGATGAACTCCTTTAGCTTTTCCTTATCTGGGAAATTCTTTATATGGCCATCGATTCTAAATGATAGCTTTGCAATATAGAGTAATCTTGGTTGTAGGTTCTTGCTTTTCATCACTCTGAATATTTCTTGCCACTCCCTTCTGGCCTGCAAAGTTTCTTTTGAGAAATCAGCTGACAGTCCTATGGGAACTCCCTTGTAGGCATCTAACTGCTTTTCTCTTGCTGATTTTAAGATTCTCTCTGTCTTGAACCTTTTGCATTTTGATGATGATGTGTCTTGGTGTGGGCCGCTTGGGGTTCATCTTGTTTGAGACTCTCTGTGCTTCCTGAACTTGTATGTCTGTTTCCTTCAAGTTAGGGACGTTTTCTGCTATTATTGTTTCAAATTGGTTTTCAATTTCTTGTTCTCTCTCTTCTCCTTCTGGCATCTACAAGATGCAAATGTTGGCATGCTTTAAGTTGTCCCAGAGGCTCCTTACACTATCCTTTTTTTTGGATTCTTTTTTCTTTTTGCTGTTCTGATTGGGTGGTTTTTTGCTTCCTTATATTGCAAATCGATGGTTTGCTTCTTGGTTTTACCTACTCTACTACTGAATCTCTGTAATTTATTCATTTCAGTTAGTACCTCCTTCATTTCTGAGTGTGCAACCTTCATTTCTAACTGGTCCTTTTTTACGCTCTTGAGGTCCTCACTAAGTTCACTGAGCATCCTTATAAGCAGTGTTTTGAACTCATCATCTGTTAGGTTGCTTATCTCCATTTCGCTTAATTATCTTCCTGGAGATTTTTTGTTCTTTCATTTGGGACCTTTTTCTTTGTCTCGTCATTTTGGCTGCCTCCCTGTGTTTGTTTCTATGTATTGCTTAACGAGAGATATGGGGCTAGCTGAGACCAGATACTGCTTGTTTGAAAGAATTAAGGAAAACATGAAGCAGGATCCAAGACAGGCCAATCCTATGGTTAAGCAACTGGCAACAGCTTGGGTGGGCCTGAAAGTTGGGTGGGGCAGGGCCTCAGGGAATCACCAGGGCGGGGCAACCAGTCAAGTGCTGGAGTCGCAGATATGACAGCTGTCTGCCACCCCAGGAACAAGGGAACAAAGGATCAAAGGCCTCTGACAGCACATTTGTCCCGGAGAAAGCCCCCTCTCCAGCCCTTGCTCCAATGCCAAACAGCTCAGTTCTTCCCTGTATGTCTCTGGCGCCCCTTGAGCTGCCTCTCCTCCAAGCTTAGAGGGAGTGAGTCTGATAAGTCTGTGCACAGGCCCTTTAAGAGGAGCTCCCTGGAGCTCTAGCCACCTCAGACTCCCTGAGCCTCAGTTCCTGCTGGTTTTTCCAGCCAGAAGTGATGGGGACTTCTCTTCCTGGCACTAGAACCCTAAGTGGGGCGCCTGGTGTGGGAGGGGGACCCATCAGTCGTCAGGGAGGACCTTCCCAGCTGAGGTACCCTCCTGATTTTTATCCGCCACATGTGGATGTGGGTGTGGGTCCAGCCCCTCCACCTCCGCCCCTCCTACCAGTCTTGATGTGGCTGCTTTTTAATTTCGTAGTTGTAGGACTTCCATTCAGCTTGATTTCAGGCAGTTTTGAAGGATAGTTGTTCTGTAGTTTAGTTGTAACTTTGATGTGGTTGTGGGAGGACGCAATACCATGCTTACCTACGCTGCCATCTTGACCAGAAGTCCAAATCTTGGTTTTGCAATATCATTTTTCACTAAAAGAAAGTAGAGTTCCATGGTGAAATGGCTGATTCCAGCTTGAAAAGTAAAGGAATAGCCAAGAGCACCTTGCTATGCCAAAAAGTAAAGGTGTGCTCAAAGAATGATGAGGATATATCAAAAGGATACAGAGTCTGGCTTGATGAGGCTCCAACTCTTCCTATCTAGGCCAATTTGAGTATCATAATAATGATGACAATAATGGCCTGTAAACCTACAGACTAAATTAAGAAACCATGAGTCCACACTGAATAAATTAAATAGATAGATAAATGGAGGGGAAGTGAAAGCTCTTCCTGACAGAACACTAAACAATAAATGTAGATGAAATGACAGAATTATAAAATGGCCATTTAGTAACCACCACAGTAATAACTGTTTTCACACAAGAATCAGTGAATGCTAAGATACTTATATAGTCTCAAAGTATTTAATAAGTATCCACAGAGTAACATAGGGCAGCAATTTTCTACCTTTTTCATCTAATGGCACACAGAAACTGATTACTAAAATTCTGCAGCACACCAAAAAATGTATATTTTTTGCCAATCTGACAAAAACATAGGTATAATTTTGATTCATTCACTTTGGATGACTACTGTTGTATTGACTGTGGTCATTTTATTGACAATCTAAGGGAAAAGGGGTCAGTGCCTCTGACTAAACAGTTATTTCATGTTTTAAAAATTCTTGCAGCACACTGGTTAAAAATCATTGACATGGAAAAAAATAGTAACTTTATGTTGGATAAACCTTGCCGAGACCATCTTAACCAAGTGATTAAAGTAAACATCACCAGTAAAGGAACAGATAGGTTATCATGGACTTGTGATATATTGTACTGAGAAGGATACAATATCAATTCTAGGGTATTCCTAGAAAACACATACCTGGAATCTAATTTTTTTTTAAAAAATCAAACAAACCCAAATTGAGGGAAATTCTACAAAATATATGGCCCATAATCTTCAAAAATGTTAAGTTCAAGAAAGTCAAAGACAGACAAACTTCTGGATTAAAGGGGACTAGAGAGGAATGACAGGCAAATTCAACATCTGATCCGGTATTAGATCCTGGACCAGAAAATTTTATTTATTTATTTACTTTTCAAATAGATTATATTCGTGGGATAACTAGCAAAATTTACTTAAAGTCTGTAGATAATATATAGTCTGTCAGTGTTATTTCCTGATCTGAATAATTATATAAGAGAATGTCCCTCTTTTCAGGAAATGATGCTGAAGTATTCATCATGTCAACTTACTTTTAAGCAGTTCACACACAAAAAATAACAGTAGGCATTTAACAAAGAAAAAATTTGGTAAACTGTTAACATTGGAGAATCTGGGTGAAATGTATGTAGAAATTCTTTGTACTTTTAAAACTTTTAAGTCTAACATAATTTAAAACTAAAAAACACTCTCTGAGATGTGACTTCCTCACTGGTACAACAGAACTGATGCACAGACCTAACAAATGAGTTAGCACTCTAAACTGTAAAGTTACAAATGTTAATTATTGTTTTAGTGTGAACTAGTATACTCCATGAGGCTTTGTGAATAGGTTAAATATACCACAGCTGAGCTTTGATGATTTAGCAGATTAGAAATATTTTTCAGAAAATAGAGTTATAGTGGTGATCCCTTCCAAAGATAAATGGTCTGATAGGCCATGTTACTAGGAACAGACTTTGATTCTTTACTCTGACGTCCTAAACCCTCCCAACCCACCACCTAACTGAATGATTAAGTATAAAGTGAATTGATAAACTGGTGTGCCCTCAAATACTTTTAGAACACCAGTACCTACCACAGCATCAAACCTGTTATGATAAATTTCTGCGTGGCTCTGCTCAATGTAGCGTCGTTTAGCATGAATAAAAGCTGGTATTCCCCCATATGCCCAGCCAATGATGCCTGCTGAAACTGCTGCCCTATAAATATTCTCAAGTTCCTTTGAAGTTCTCTGCTGTTCACTAAAACATCAAAAACAACAACATTGTTTGGAATTAGTATATATAAACAGTTCTCCAAAAGATGAGATGATCAGAATTATGCCAAATACAAACACAACCACATTTTTCATTATGGGCTGAACCAATTTAATCCTGTGATGAGTTAAATAGTGCAGTTATATTGTAAGTGATTCAAATTTCAGCCAAAACTAACCTATGCTGTTAGAAATTAGGCTAGAGGTTGGTTACTCTTGGGAAGATGAAAAAAAAAAGTTCAAACCCCTATATTTTTTAGTACTTCAAGTGTATGTTATAGTCAGATGGGCCTGTATTGAATGAGAAAGCTCATGATGCAGTGGACAGCACAGACCAACCTAAATAACAAGAAAAAACTGTTTAATTCAATTTATTACTGTCAACAGCATAAGAAACTAGAATTGCTAGGATGTCCTCCCAAAATTTCTTCCAAAAATTGCTCTAACAAATAGCTACATTTGTAAGTATTAAATTACTATAAATAATGACCCTACTAGGTAAACTATTAAATGTTAATTGTTTACATTACTAATTTGTTTCAAAGGCTATACAAGAGTTTTTCTAATTCTAATTGCCAATAATCACATTTCTGAAATCAGTGTTTAGTTTCTGCATCTATGAGTGAAATCTAAATCTCCTAGAAGACTGTAATTCTTATACTTATGTCAATAGGAAAAACTATAATTTCAACTTTCCTTTATAGTGAATAAGATAAAAAACAATATTTACATAAAAACTGGTTTATGGTAGAATTCAGAGAAGAAAAAATGTAAAGCAGCTTAAAATTTAACAAGCAGGAGATGTATATGCTTTGCCTCTTTTTCATCTTCTGAAGAATTTCATGACATAGATATTTATCCCCATTTTAATGATATATGGATATATTGTAATAACGATGATGGGAATAGAGGCTCTAAGAAATTATATGGTTGGCCCAAACAGCTAATGAATGGTGAAGAAAAAGGGCACAGTGGTTGAAAGGATCCTAGACTCCAAGTAACAATGGGGTTGTGGTTCTGGTTCTGTCACCCACTGCTAAGTGACCTGCAGCCCGGTCACAACTTCTATGAACCTTGGTTTCCTCATCCATGATGGAGGAGAGCATGAAAATGACACTAGATTATCTTCCACATTTCAGTTCCAACATTCTGTGGTTTATAAAGGCTGATCAAAATAACCCTCTTCTGTTATACACTACATAGGATCTTTCACAAGTATCTCAAGTAAATATTGGAAGGACCAACGAATGAGAAAGGTGAACTCATCTTTAAAATAAGTATGATAAGCCTGGCCAAAGTGTCTCAGTTGACTGAGCATCATTTTGTGCACTGAAAGGCTGCTGGTTTGATTCCCAGTCAGGGCACATATAGAAGGCAAACAATCAATTTCTCCCTCTCTCTAAGCATGTCCTTGGGTGAGGATTTAAAAAAAAAAAAATGATGATGATGAAATCTAAATACAGTTATTAAATATAATTCTATTGACTCCCTTGCCCCAATTATATGCCCCTCAGCAAGTTAATTTAACCAGTTGATAACACAGTGTAGTTAAGTACATTAGAAAAGGGCAAACTTTTCACCAGTAATTGACGAACAGATGAAATGAATCAAAGAATGAATGAAATATTCTGAGTTTTTCATTAAAGTTAATTCAACTCAAAGGATTATCTTTTATTCTGAATTATCCTTGTTAACCCAGCTAATATCATAAAATGATGAGACAATAGGTGCTATTTTTATAAACTCCTTATTGGGTAGAATAAAAATTTTACAATTCTCCGCCCATCTCTCCAACTTCCACTTTTTTGGAGGGGAGTGGAGCTGCTGGTCATGAAATACAAAAGTTTGGGGTCAAGTGAAATCAGATATACTGGAGTGGCGTCCTATAGACTGGGTTCCAGACTGAATTCCGACACTACTTAGTTCAGTCCAATTCTTCAAATTCAGGGTATTACACTAAGACTATATTCTCTAAATACCCCTAAAAGTTCTGATTTATGAGTCTCACCTTGATCATTTGAAAGTCCTCCTGTCATCTACACAACTACCAAATCCAAATGACAGGATGCAAGGCTGGGGTACAAACATGAGAAGCTCAAACCCCATTTTAAAATAAACCACACCACCCTGTGGTCCTTGGCCCCAGGATAACCCAGGCTGGGACACGTCCTTCGCAGCCCCTCCCCACAGACCCGAGGCACTTTTACTCTTTGACAAACAGCTCCCGGAGGCGGTCCCATCCGGACTCGTGGTAATGGGGTTCTGGGACGAAGGAAGGCAGCTTCTGGTCCTCCGAATCGGTGGCCACGGAACTGTCAGCCACAGCTTCCGCAGCAAAGACCCTAGGGAAAGGACCCAGCGCCCTGCAGAGGGTGCTCCGTGGCGCCGGCGGCCGCACCTCCATGGCCCTCTCCGAACCTGCGGACAGAAACGAGCTTGGTTCTCGGAGCGCCAAGGCCTCGGAGACGCCGAGAAAGAACCGTGCGGGTAACTGCAAGGCTGACTGGGTGAACACCCGAGCCCCAGGTACCACCTTATCCCCGGCCACAGGTCTTGACACTCCGTCCCTGGGCACCCAGCGTCACTTTGGAGGTCCTTGGACACACGAGACAGGAAGTCCTGCCCCCACGCAAAGAGCAAGGGGCGGGGTGACGGCGGAGCCCGAGCCGAAGACACTTCCGCTTGGAGGCGGGACGGACCGCCGCGGTCCGGAAGTGAGTTAGCAGCGAGTGGCCAGGCTCAGCGCTGTCTGGCCCCGCCCCCTGGGCTTCCAGGGTCACTCAAGCGGGGGTCTCTGTTTGGTTCCAGGTGGCCGGCGTGGTCACAGGCCCAAGTAATTCAGCGTATGTAAAACGGCAGAAAGCCCACAGAGATGAATAAGAAAGTGCAAATTCAATCCAAAGGAGCACGAAGAGACAGGAATTCTGTGCAAATACAAGCCAACCCACCCTATCACAGCAGGAGAACCTTCTGGCTGGCTCCATTCATACTCGTTAAAGTTCTGGTTTCCAGAAAGAACCGAGCATTGAAAAGAGGTCAGATACGCAGAAATTTCCAGAATATTCTCTTGAACAATCAGCTTTGGGTAGTTCCGCACAAGATGGTTTTTACCCCCCTTAGTTACTATACCTACCGTTTCTCAAAAGGCAGGACAGTTTCTGGAATATCTAGCAGGTGTGTGTTTGACAGACCAGCAGTAATTTTCCATCAGTGCGACCTCTAACATGCTTCAAAGTATAGTTTTCATTAAAACACAGGTATTTAAAATAGTCTCAAACTTGTTTGCATACTTTCACTTAATCTTTACTAGCAACTAAACATAGCCTCTCATATTTGCTAATCCCTAGCCCTCCTTGATTCCTTTCTAGATGTAATTCAAAACGTCTACACTCTTTAGTAAATAGAATTCTGGAATTGATAGCGGGTGTATAGAACAAGAGAGCAGATGTTTTGGACCCTTTCCAAGAATCCAATACAGAGTCACTGTCAGCCTGACAGTTATGTCAAGCGGCATGACGCCCAAAACTGAGGTAACGGGGTATAACAGAAACACGCTTAGGATGGTCCCAGAATTAAAAAATCACAAGTCTGATTACTCAGATGAGGACTTCAATCTGGACACTGATATGAGTAGGACCACCTCCCATCGTGGACTATAAGAACTCAGAGTTTCCACCTTTTGATGCTGAAGCTTGGCTGTACCAGGAGTGATACTTGGAGCCCAAAAGGACTTCCGCTCTACCAGACCATGCTGCCACTGTAGCCACCTGGCTTGGAGACCTATGCCTGCCTCTCCATCCACAGATGGCATCAGTGATCAGGACTTTATACTAGATGCTTAGTATGCTTCTTGTTATACTTGCTCTATTGCCATAAGCTCCCTCTTTCTGCATGTAACTTCTTGTAACCCTATTGGCTTATTGGGGAGGTCTCCTCTAATAAAGCTGGCATTGTGAAAAGACACAAACACGTGTGACTTCTTTCGGATGCTCCCTTGCTTACTACAGCTGAAATTTTATAGATAAGGCCAAAGAAATAACTGACTAGACTAGTTAAATTAGTGACAGTGCCAGAAAGATTTATCTGGTGTCTGGAAAACAGGATTAAATTCAGCTTCCATCATAACACTTACTACATTGCATTACAACTTCCTATTTGCTATCTTAGTAGACTAGCTTTGAGATCAGAGACCACGTATATTCATCTCTATGTCCAGGACCTAGCACAGTGTCTGGCACATAGGTTGTTGAACAAAGAATTCAGATCCTCTGACTCCTAGCTCTGGCTCCAGATTGCTGCTTATTGCATATAGGCTCAGGTGGGCATCAGGAAAGTCCCAAGGCCTGAAAGTGCAAGAAAATGGTTGTGCACACTTTAGAGTCTACATGTAGAAAAAGCTAAATGCTTAAGATGACCCCAGAATCATTCTGAGATGAGGGAGGACTCAGAATTGTGGGGTGGGTGTGTTAGGCAGATACTAATGAATTAATTTATACAGGACTCACTACTTTGTAGATACAAATTTGTCATATTAATGGACAAATTTCATTAACTCCAGTTACCCAAAGGAAAAGGCAGCTATGGAGTTAATGAAATTTGTCCATTAATATGACAAATTTCATTAACTCCATAGCTGCCTTTTCCTTTGGGTAACTGGAGCTTCATTTGTAAGGTTCCCTTTGCCAGACAGTATCTAAACAAGATCCTAGACTCTTGGCCACTGCTCACTGATATTTCATCTCAGCTCCTAAGACTGTCACGCTCCCACTCCTGCTTCTCCAAGCCCCTGGGCCTTAACCTCTTTTACCACCAGGGAAATACTCTTCCTACTCTGTGGTCTGCTTTTTGAAGGGTCTCAGAGCAATAATAAACCAAAAGATGTTATGAGGTTTAGGTGGGCCACTCTGTTTAGCATACAGCTCTCCCCTCCCCAGGATATGCATTTGCCACCAGAATAAAAGAATCAGGGAAGAATTTCAGCATAGTCACATTGTGCCTAGAACCACCATTCTCCTCCCCTCAACCCTCATTGCTGAGTTCAGCTCATAAAACTTATTAGCATCTTCTCCTATCAGGAACTTTCTCCCAGGGGTCAAAAGGTTTTCATTTCCTGCCAGGTTCACCAGGTACTCCCCTTGTCACATTAGTTTATTATATTACATGTGACATAAACTCTCCATAGGTAGAATGAATTTTAAGAACTCCCAAGAACCACTTTATTTACCCATCTCCCAGTTTTTTACCTCCATTTAGTTTCCCATCTGCACCAGATGAATATTCCTTCTTCCTCTAAACTCCAAATCCATTGGCTTTACGAATAATAGCCTTATAAATGACCTCATGTCATTATAATCACCTTCTGCTTATGATGCCCCTAGTATTGTTATCTCAACTACAGAGCTCCTTCGTGATAGGAAGTCTAGACCCTTGGCCACTGCTCAGATATTTCATCTCAGCTCCTAAGACTGTCATGCTCCCACACTCCTGCTTCTCCAAACCCCTGGGTCTTACCCTCTTTTACCACCAGGGCAATATTCTCCCTACTCTGTGGTCTGCTTTTTGAAGGGTCTCAGAGCAACTGTAAACCAAAAGATGTTATTAGGTTTTTAAACATTTTCTTATCTCCCACTGTTTGTGTACAACAGATGCTCAAAAAGTATTTGATAAGTATGAAATAAGTCATTGTAATTGTACTCCTTTGTCTCACACCTTACCTCTGGATGCAGTAGGCTTATCTTAGGTGAAGGCATTTTTAGATGCATGGGAAGATGGGTTTTTAAGTATGTGTGTGTTTTTGTACGTTGCCAGTGTAGGGGTGAAGAATAGGGAACTATCCTCTTTGGAGCTGACCCAAAGGAGCTCATTAACTTTTTTTCTCTTGGGAATATTAGGCTGTGAGACAGAGCCTGGTAGACTCTGGAACTTCCCATCGTAGCAATCTAGAGACAGTCCAGAACTCTTGCTGAGATTCCTAGAGTTGCCTTGCTCTCTACTCTTCCAACTGCTATGAAACTTGTTTGGAGTCTTCAAGATGCCTTCAAATTCTTCTAAGTTCTTTTGCTTAATCTAGTTAGAGGCAGTTTCTGTTCTGAGCAACTAGGAGAACCTGACCTAACAGTGGAATAAGGTGGGCCACTGATAACATGACACAGATCATACTCACCAAATAAAGAAAGTAAAAGAATTATTTGTGTTATCCAAGTATCCCACTTCATTCAAATAGATTAAATTATACTCTTTCCTTAAAAAAAGAAGGGCAGCCTTTAGCTCACTGTGGAGGAGGGGGTAAATTTGGGACCCAGCTAGTATTAACAATAATGAACCGCCTTCAAAAGTTATGGGGATAAAAATTATTTTCAAAAGCATACATTTTACATATTGTTACGCACCATCCTCATACCATCTATACAGAGGTAAACAAGGTAAGTATAAAATCTGAGTAACATTTGCTGTATTTAAATACAAAGATGCCCTTATTGACCCTGCAAAGGGCAGATGATAATTTGCATTGTTCCAATTGTTCATCTTGGAGCCAATGGCTAGGCAATCTGTAAACAGGATCTGGTTAAGCCAACTGTCTCCATTCATCCCCCCATTCACCCATCCACCCTTCCAACAACGCTTTAGTGTCTACTCTGTGTGACACTCACTATACTGGATAATGGAGACATCAAGATGAGTAAAACAGGATTCCCACCCATCAAGAAGCTCACAGAACAGTAGGAGAAATTGCCAAATAGCTACAGTACAAAGTGATGTCATATAATACAGACATGAGCAAAATATTATGGTTGCCCCTAACTGCCTACAGGAATGAAAGAAAGGATTCAGAGAGAAGGTGATGCTTGAGCTAGAACTTGAAGCAAAATGGGAAACACTCCCAGAAAAATGTAGTTTCAGCTCCTAATCTAAGGACAGAACATGGTGTTCCCAGTTTAGTGGGAGGAAACGTAAAACACAGAGAGAATAATGACATCTATTAGGGCCTCATATTGACAAGGCAAAACCATAATATAACTCAGAAATCTGGACCTCTTATCGCTAGACTTATAGCACCTAAGGACTTGATTCCCATTCATTTTTAATACTAAAAAAAATTCAACTTTAAATGTCTGCCTTGGTCCATGCAATGATCTTACCAGTGATATTTAACTCCTCTAAGAAGGTCCTTAGTCTCAAATTTTTGTGAAGGGAGTTTAAAAGGCCATTTCTCATAAATGAAATAAAATCCTGATTTTATATGACTGAATCTCACATTTACTAATTTTGAAGCCAATTAATACCAATTTGTTCTTAGGACTCAAAGGAAAAGAACTGATTTCTCTGAAGAAAAATTGGGCTTAAGGGACAAGAATGATTCTACGTCACCAGTCTATATGGGTTTTAATCTAACAATTTTTCTTCATTTTTGACTATGTTAGCAAGATCATCCTGAGAGATTAAACTACTATCCAAATGTCTTTTTCGAAAAGGGGGAAAAGGGAAAAGAAGGTCCCTGCAAGACCATGAGAGTGTGGACTGCTACCAACTGAAGGAGGAAAACTATTAAAGGCATGCAAAGAGTAAAGAGTTGCTCTTCTGCACAGAGTTCCTTCCAAGAGTGAATACTACTTCCTAAATTAAGAAGTTTTCATCTTTTTTTTTTTTTTTTTAGAGACCATAAAAAGAAGGGTGTGAAGGCACAGAGGGCACTTGAGATCCAATTGCAATTACTCACGCAACTGGCTCCTTTCTATGTGGCACTGTAGAAACCTCCTGAGTACCAGAGAGTTTTATGCTGTTACAAAAGAGAACTCCTATGTCATTGCATGGCACAGCTACTGCTTCCTTAGACTTTTTGGAAAATAATCCCCAAGTATTTTTCACAAACCCTATAGGGCTCCTACATTGAAATATAGCATCAAAGATCAAGCCTAGAATAATGCAGAATTGCATGATGAATTGTACTAGGTCCAAATGATTGAGTTTCTGCTCCAAATGGTGGGACAATGGACATCATCCTATGGACACAGTCCGTTTCACAGTGATGAACATACATATGTGGATGATCTGAGGCACAAGCTGTGATTGGTCCTAATAAAATGAAAGGTAGAATTGGGTTCAAAACCCACATCTCATGATTTCTGGTCCTTATTCAGCCAAAGTGTTGAGCTTCTTCATATCTGTATTATACACATTTTGGGTCTTTCTTGAGACTTGCTCTGGGTGCAGCATAAGGAAAACCAGATATTTGGCTTGATAATAGTATTCAAAGTATAGGTGCCACACTCATGGTAAGCTTCCCACCACAGGATATCTCAGACCAGCTGCCATAGAGAGGACTTTGGTCCACTGATGACTATTAGAGTTCAGTTTTCAAAATTTTGGAAGTAATCTGATTATAGCCTTTCCTTCTTGTTACATTATAGGACAGGAATTTAGAGTATTCAGTCAACAGGCTCTCCCAGTAACAGGTGATGTCATCCATCCTCAGGTGGTTCCTAATAAACTGGCTTCCCCTAGAGACAAGATTAATAACAACTTTTAAAGCACAGCATTTAATAATATTAATAGCTTATATTTGAGTGCTTACTTTGTGACAAGCACTGTTCAGAGTACTTTATATGAATTAAATCTTTTGATCCTCAGAACCAACCCTCTAGACATATCATACCCACACATGTGCAACTAGCAACAGAACTTAATTTTTTAATATGTTTTTATTGATTTTTTTAGAGAGAGAAGAAAGGAGAGAGAGAGAAACATTGATGTGAGAGAGAAGCATCAATGGGCTGCCTCCTGCATGCCCCCTACTGGGGATTAATCCCACAACCCAGGCATGTGCCCTGAATGGGAATCGAATGGAACCGGGACCTCTTAGTCAATGGGACTGACAGGGAATCAAACTGGGACGCCCAATCCACTGAGCCACACTGGCCAGGCTTAATTTTTTTCTTAAAAACAGACGTGCAAACAGCTAGTGCTCAGAAAAAGTACTTGTTTAGTTATCACAATGATTTCAGTCTACTTCTACAAAGGATGGGCTTGGAATATTTGTGAATGTGTGTTTCCCCCCTAGCACAGCTTTAATTCTGATGATCCCTGTGTAATAAGGATCAAATCCAGATATCACCATGGTAACAATATTCATATAACTTTAGGGCCAAATAGGGATGATAAAGTAGAAAAGGAAAAATGAACAGAACTTACCTTTCAGCAATTTCTTGAGCTATGTCATCATTTGCTTTTACAAATTGCAGCAGTTCCCTAAAATGGAAAGAATTATTAGACACTGAAATACAGAACAAGCTTATTAGCACTAAATCAGAAATATCATAGATTAAGTTTACAGTTAATCTCTAGGTATGGGGATGGTAGAGTATTTCTTTTTCAAAGGAAAAATATCAGTGTCCCCACAGGAACAAAGTCATAACAAAAAGTCCCCACACAGGCTAAAGGCAATGTGTTATAGTTTTGAAACATATCTGAGAAAATAGGAAATGTTCAATGATGCACATCAAAAATCAATAGTGAAGGAAAAACTTTCCTTCTGTCTCCTCCTCTGGCCCCCTTATGTCCCTGGCCCCTTTCCCTACCTCTTTCTAGCTCCTCCCATCATGAGAGGAAATTTTCCTCAGCTTCACGAGGTCATTTCTCACACTGTATCTGAAAGTTCTTTAGACAATATAAGAAGATCAAAGACCCCCATCTTAAGTCTTTGAGAGATTAGAGCTTTTTCACTGCACAGTTTGAATGTTACATTTTCAGCACTACAGAACTCTTCCAGATTAAATCCCATTTATAGTTGGATAATAATGCAATAATATTTATGTGAATCAAATAAGAAAAAAATAAAAGGCTTTCAGTGGAAAAAGTCACCAGGAATAAATGCCTTAACTGGCTGGGGACTTAGAGGCAGATTTCGGGAGTCATTAGAATCTCTGCTTGGCAGAGAGTAGCTTACTGGACATTGGAGAGATCTGTTTTCACAGGGATATAGTGAACCCATGGCTTTAGTTGCGGATAGAAGAATTCCAGCCATTCATCACCAACGTGGAAAACAAGTGAACCACAAAGGAAAAGGTGTTTGAACCGAAAACTTGCAGCTACACCTCGAAAATTAAACAGATACCTGAGAAAGAAAGCAAAATACACTTGATAATATATACTTGCTGCCACAAATATGACCCGTTTTTTTTTTTGTTTTGTTTTTTTACTTAATCCCTTCCCCTCTGCTATGACCCCTGTCCCTTCTCCTTCCATTTTGATTTTCCAAGGACATATTAGCATGTCCCTGTGGAGTTTCCATAAACTTTTTGCTTTTCCAGGGGCTACAGGTTATTCTTGTAAATGTCAGGATGCGGGGGAGGGGGATAGTTTCTCCAGGCAGAGCTAATAGGGCCAAGAGCTGGGTGCTGAGTATAAGCTATTCTAGGCCTAATGTCTCTAATTTGTCATGTCCAACCCCCAGCCTGGTTTTCCCCATAGGATACCCCATCTGGTCAAAGGCATCCCTTGTTCCCTCTTCTTCTGAAATCTGGAGAGGACAACCAGGCATACCTAATCAATCTTCAAGGAAATATACCCTGGGAAAAAGCTATTTTATAAAGAACATTTTCTTTTCAACATGTGTGGTGCATGCACCCGTCTCCAGAGTTGCTTCTTTCCATAGTTCCCACTTCACTCTGTAATCAGCATTCATCTCTCTGAATCCCCCCCTACCCTACTCCTAACCTGGTTTCACCTGTTCTTCTAATTCTTAGTCCTGATATTTAAGTATATTTTAGTTACAGCCCTGGCCTGTTTGGTTTAGTGGTTAGAAAATCGGCCTGCAGACCAAAAGGTCATGGGATCAATTCCCAATCAAAGGCATGTACCTGGGTTACAGGTTCAATCCCCAGCCTTTGTCAGCATCATGGGGGAGGCAACCAACTGAGTCTTTCTCACACTGATTTTTCTTTCTCTCTCTCTCTCCCCTCTTCCTCCCTCCCTCCTCCTTCCCTTCCACACTCTCTAAAAATCAATGGAAAAAATGTCCTCAGGTGAGGATTATATATTATGTATGCTTTATTCATGTTGAACCTCAAACTGTTTTATTAACCTGTTAAATACTTCATCTAACTTTAGCTAGTGACTGGGTGGGGTGTGGAGAGAGAGAATCCCATCACTCTGATTAGCACACAAGTTCTATGGAAGCAGGGACCATATTTCATTGTTTACACAGTTCCTGCAGAACTTAGGCCAGAGCCTTGTGCTTGGCAGGTTCTCAGTAAACAATAGCTAAATGAATTATTGTGACTTTCATAAACTCCAGCTGGGCCCTGGTATTAAAGTTCTCACCCAAAGTGTAGCTATTCCAAAAGCAAAAGGGAAACCAAGAGTCAGGAGTCCAGGAAGTCTTACTTGTATTTACAGTGATCCACCAGATGGACATCCTTAGCAGCTGGCTTTCCCAAGGTATCCTTTAAATGAAAAGAAAGTTATTAATATTAGTAATGGTGGTATTTGTTGAAGACCACTGTGCAGCAAGCAAGGCAAACTTTTCAATAATATGATCTCATTTAAGTCTCATAATAAACATACCCAGGAAGCATTATTACCCCATGTTACAGATAAAGAAGCCAAGGCTTCAAGAAGTTAGAAGATTTGCTCAGGGGCACATGGCCCTAAGTTGTAGAGTGAGGTTATCTAACCTGGATCTGTCTGATTTTAGAGCCTAAGCTCACCTGGAGCCATATGAACACCGAGGTCATGGCCTATCGCGTATTTCACTCTGTGGAAACTATACACACAGGAGGTCACAAGTGGTAGTTGGCAGGCTTAGAGGTATAAACCACCCACAAATTTTGTTGGTCATGTAAAGTATTTGAAGTAAATATTCAAACCACTGCCAACATTTATAGGTAGTAGAATATAAAAATCCAGACTTTCAGCTTTTCTTATAAAAAGAAAAAAGATTTGGAAAACTGGGCTCCTATCCTTGTTGACAGCAATGACTGGACCTTCAGTGCTCTCTCCTGCTCACTCCTGTGGCCCAGCGTAACCATGCATATTCCAGCCGCCTGAGCAGATGGCAAACTCCCTGATGAGGGGAACAAGTCCTGTTTGCCCCTGCAGCCTCCCACGTAGATGCTCCGCTGAGTGGATACATTTTTTCATATTTTTATTTTTAAACAAAGCTTCTTAAATGTCATTTGCTCCTGTTGGATTAAAACTGTCATATAATAGCCCTGGCTGGTTTGGCTCAGCGGTTAGAGCAGCGGCCTGTGGTCCATAGAGACCCGGGTTCGGTTCCCGCTAAGGGCGCATACCTTGGTTGCAGTTTGTCCCCGGCCCTGGTTGGTTGTGCGGGTGGCAGCCACTCGATGTGTCCCTTTCACGTCAATGTTTCTCTCTCTCTCTCTCCCTCCCACTCTACCTGAACAAAAAATGGAAAAATGTCCTCGGGTGAGGATTTAACAAAAAACAAACAAAAAAACTATCATATAATAAATATACCCATCTTAAAGATATACTTCGTTTTTCCCACAAGAAGTTTAACTTTTTTTCTCATATCATCCTCATTTCAGATGAGCACATTTTGGGCTTAAAGTTTTTGGAATAAGGCAAGAAGTCACAGAGTTAATGAGACAGATGGGCTCTAAACCAGGGCCCATAGCATCACATTGGACACTGGAGAGTTTTAAACAATGAAGATGCCTGGATCCCATCCCAGAGATTCTGACTCATCTGAATCATTTTCAAGCTCTCTGGTTGGATTGTAAAGTCAGGGTTGAGAACCACTGGTTTAAGACAGGGGTTGGCGGACTATAGTACATAAGCCAAATCCAGTTTACTGTTTGTTTTTTATACAACCCACAGATTAAGAATATTTTTACCTTTCAAATGGTTGCAAAAAATCCAAAGGAGAATATTTTGACACATGAAAATTACATAAAGCTGAAATTGTGGTGCCACAAATCTTTCCCAGCACATAGCCACCCTCTACATTTACATGTGGTTTATGGCTGTCCTCACGCTGCGGTCAGCAGAGTTGAGAAACTGCAGCAGAAACCTCCTGCTCCGCAAAGCCTCAAGTATTTACCATCTGTCCCTTTACATAAAAAATTTGTGACTGCTGGTTTAAACCTTCAAACTGGTATAAAATGCTGCTCTGAATATAGGCCAGAAAAGCAATGTGAGTTTGAAAAGGAATCATTTACATGTATGCTCATACTAGTTCATGGAACTTCCTCTATGTGCATCCCATAAATGACAGGAAACCTAATCCGAAATTCTACCCAGCTAGCAATGGTTTTTGAGTGAGAATGTTCGCTGCTTTAGTTGCTATTCAGACAACTGGCGATTACTTTCATAGACTTCCAGGCCTGGTTTTTGGTGTACTCTGCATCAACAAGTTTTGGATTTTTCCGAGAGAGAAGAATGAGAGGATCTCGTTCTGGACTTGTCCTATAAAAGAAACACATGACATAAAACTGTGTATCCTACACCATAACACGATTCCCAATCTCTGGAAAATCAGCAGTAATTGGGCCCAATGCAATGATGGTACACACAGGCAAACAACTCATTGGTCACTTTAGCAGCAGAGGAGGGGATACTGGATATTGTAGCATGTAGGTGGTCCTGGTCTGTCCTCACTTTACCCTTCAGGGATGGGGAATATCTGGCCCTTCTTTGCTTGCATCTCATCTTTAAGATGATGTTGTGCTGGTCACTACAGCCATAACCCAGGGAATTATTTCCCTTTTAGGAGGGTTCATGTAGCCTCTAAAATCAACAGTACCCATAGCTGTGTGACTACGTAATCCACTCACCAAAATAGCTACATGACGTTTGTTGTGTATGCTCTGTAAAATCTAGTATAATATTTAATTAAAAAGAAAAAGCTTAAAAACTTGAGGACTATATGGAGAAAAAGCCCTTTGTAGGGTCCAAGCAGTAGGGGGGTCTTGACATTTGGGGGAAGGTCACAGACCCCCTGAGAACCTGAAAAGAACTATGGACTCCTCTCTCTAGAAAAATGTACATTTCCCCTATAATTTCAAGGAAGTCTTAAAACCCTTGAAGTCCACACATGGATCCCAAGTTATGAATCTGGGATCTTAAAATTTAAACATCAGCCTTGCTGGTGTGGCTCAGTGGCTGAGTGTTGACCCATGCACAAAGAGGTCGCCGGTTCAGTTCCCAGTCGGGGCACATGCCCAAATTGTGGGCCGTATCCTCAGTGGGGGGCATGCAGAAGGCAGCCAGTCTATCTTCTTTCTCATTGATGTTTCTACCTCTTTCTCCCTCTCCCTTTCTGTCTCTATAAAAATCAAAAAAGAAATTTAAAAAAGCATAACTTAAAAAAAAATAAAGATAGGAACATCAGAGAAGTTGATAAGGAACAGTAAGCAGTAAGCAGACTGCTTCCATCTCCATTTTCACAGTCTCAATCTGTCCTCTCTACCACTATTTGGCAGCCACATGGTCTGATGAAAAAGGCAGTCGGGAGATCCACTGATGGCATTAACCAGCAGAGGGCCTGAGCAACATCATAGCTACTCCTAGGAGACTGTCATCTCTCAGGCAAGGGGACAACTCATCTTTCTGTTCAACGTTCAATGCCTGTCATGCTTGTGGCACTCTGTAAATATCTGTTGAATTACTGGGTAAACTTTACTTCTTTGAATTTCAATTCAATAACGAGTGGTTTGGTCAAATAATTTGAGCTTTTCTCCAATTTAAAATTCTATGATTCTCCATTTATTTTTTAGTTAGCCTTCTTTGTGAGCTAGAGTTTGTCACAGGCTCAAAATTACTTGCATTTTACAAATTTTAAGAATATCTTTGTAAAGTGTCAGAAAATATAATCACCTTGATCCTCGGAAATACGCTGTGGAGTTTTTCTTCTTCCATGGCCACTGCGCAGCTGACCTAACAACAGATTTCTATTAGTTTCTATGCTTTCTTCTTAACTATATAAGGATATATTTTAACCATTTCTGAGGATTGGTGCAGAGCTTTACATTTTTAAATGAGTCTGAGCTAGGCTACTCAAAAGAAAGAAATCCCTAAATGGCATTATGTTCACTTTTGTTATTACTTCATTCCTCTGGAAGTGTTAGCTCCTAATATCTACAAATCTACTGCTCCATTAGTAAGTCAACAACATTGAAAGAAAAGTCCCCATGTTTAATTTAGAGGATTTCTTCTCCACTTTAAGTAGAGTGCTATTGATAAAATTAACATGCAAAGAGAACTGCAGAAAATATCAGAATTTTCATGAAGGGCAAGAAAACAAATCACTCCTTGACTTCATGTTTTGGATACGTAGGAGGTGTCATCAGATTAGTCCAATTTTGCAAAGCGCCCTAGTCTTCTCGAAACCCTACGAAATGCTCCCTAAACACAAAGTCCCCGAAACTCAGATCCTGGAACACATTACACGACCAGCTTTCCGTGCTGAGACTACGAGCTCACAGATACAGCATTCTTAACTTTCTTCCTAGGAACCCTGCACAGTTTTCACAATGTCTTCCTCTGAAAAAGGAGTGGAGGGCTCAGCTGGAGTTAATGAGGGATTGGTGGTCTGTACTGCTCTAATGAGACGTGGATACCAGCTTTTCAGGTAGAGACACTTCTCAGCTACACAGTGTCCCATTCCTCATTTCTCTCAGCTGCGAGCACGGCTCCATTTAGCCTGGTGTATCTCCAGCCCTTTCTTGCCGGGACACCTTTTCCCAATTCCCTGGCCCGAAGCCAGCACTCTCACGCTCTGCCCCATGCTCCCTTCCACCAAAATATAAACATTACATCACTGGGATTTTTTTTTATGGGTTTCCCAGGGGAAAAGTGATAGGTGTTTATTATATAACATTCTAATGGAAAAACAAAATAAAGAGAAAGCATCATCTAATTTCCCTACTTACAGCCCTGGCCGGTTTGGCTCAGCGGTTAGAGCGTCGGCCTGCGGTCCAGAGAGACCTGGGTTTGGTTCCCGCTAAGGGCATGTACCTCGGTTGCAGTTTGTCCCCGGCCCTGGTTGGTCGTGCGGGTGGCAGCCACTCGATATGTCCCTTTCATGTTGATGTTTCTCTCTCTCTCTCTCTTCCTCTCCCTCCCTCCCACTCTATCTGTACAAAAAATGGAAAAATGTCCTCGGGTGAGGATTAAAAAATAATAATAATAATAAAAATAATTTCCCTACTTACAGATAAATACTTTTAACAATTTAACTTTTCAGTGGAGAATTTTCTTCCAATCATCTCCCCATAGCAGGGTTCTCAACCAGAGGCGATTTTGCCCCTATCCCTCAGGGGACATTTGGCCATGTCTATAGACACTTTTGATTGTCACTGCTGGGGGACTGCTACTGGCCGCCAGTGGGTAAAGGCCAAAGGATGTTGCCTAAACATCCTACAATGCACAGGACAGCCCCCAACACCAAAGAATGATCTGACCCAAAATATCAACAGTACCAAGATTGAGAGACCTTGTTCTATATAAGAGAGATCACAACATGCGTGCTGTTAGGTAACATTCTTTCAAGGACATATATTATAGATAATAAGAGCCAACAACTATACAGCACTTAATATGTTCCAGACACCCTTCTAAGTGATTTGTATCTTTATTAACTTATCCTAACAGCCTTATGAGGTGGGTTTTTATCATTCTTAACTTTATAGTTGAGGCTCTTGAGAGATTAAGCCATTTTCCCAGATCTCACAGCTATTAAGAGCCAGGGTTTGAACCCAGAGTCCCTGTTTTTAAATCCTATACTAATTTTATTTTCCACTCATACACAGTATTCCATTTGATAGCTATGTCATAATTAGTTTCTTATGGGCTTTTAGGTAGTTTCCAACTTGTTGCTTTGAGAAACAACACAGTAGTGAATATCCTTATATACACATATTTGCACACTTGTCTAATTAACCCCGCAAGATAAATTCTAGAAATGAAATGGCAGGGTCAAAGGATATACACACTTTTGATATATTTTGATAAATTTTGATATATTTTACCAAACTAGCCAACAAAAAAATGTATCAATTTATACTCAAATTTTAGTATAAATTTCCTTGGTTCCTGGGAAAGTTGTGCTTAATGTACACAGACTTGAACAATGCATCATCTCTATTTTCCCTCTCTCACTCTTCCTACACACCTCTCAAAAGACCTACCTTAGAAATTCTTCTCGAGGCAAGAGTTAACAGTGACCACCACAGCCTGGTGGTGCCCAGCTCTGTTTGATTACCCTCTCCCCGACCCCTGACAGCAGAAAGTGAACTCCTTAAATCTACAGAGATAAGAAATTCTTCTACAGAGTGAAAAATAAGTCAGCGGAGACAAACTCCCAAAAGATTATAAAAATAGAAAAATGGCAGGCCAATGCAGTTGGATAAACAAGCAGACTATTTAAGTTTCAAAGTAGGAAATGAAGTCACATAGCTAGAGATCCTGAGTGGAAGGCTCTAAACAATAAAGTAGCAATTCTATAATCATGAATAAATTCAACTGAAGAATATAAGAGGCAGGTATCAAAAGAAAAAAATTTCACATAAGATTAGATTTTAAAACATATTCTATCTCCCTATAAATTGCTTATCAAGTTACTAAAGGGGAAATAGCAACTACACAATGAAGTAAATGGATAACATCTTGACCAGGTGATCAAAATCAATATCACTAATGAGGGATGGATGGATGGAAAATGACTTATGTAGAGTAACTATTGTATTTGGACCAACAATGAATAGACTGAAACTGATCATGAGGAAACAGACAAAACCAAGTTGAAGAATGTTCTGTATTCTTCAAAATGTCAATGCCATGAAAGAGAAAGACAGACTGAAAAGCTGTTACATATTAAAGGAGACCAAAGAGACAGGACAACTACATGCAATAGATGATCTTGGACTGTACCGTGTGCTGGAGGGGAAAGTCCTACATAGGACTTATTGAGACTTTTAAGTGTTGTATCAGTATGGTTTCCTAAATTTGACAATTGCAGTGTGGTTATAAAAGAGAACACCCTTACTTTTAGGAAATAAACAACTAAAGTGTTAAAGGGTAAAGGGTCATAAAGTATGCAACATACTCAAATAATCCACACAAAAAAAGAAAGTATGCATGTATCATATATGTGGTCTAAATGTCCATCAAAAGACATAATGAAGTAAATTATCATCTGTGCAACAGAACACTGCTCAGCTGTTAAAATAATGAAGTAGCTTCAGATATACTGACATGGAAAGATTTTTAAGACACGCTGGTGAGTGGGGAAAAAACTGCCCAGATTAGACATATTTCTAAATGTTTATGAGCATGTATATGTTTCATAATTAGAAAAAAATAAGTTGTTTTTTTAAAGATTTGAAAAAAGAATGTATATGTTAGCAGGTAGGGAAAAGGCTACAAAGAAACTGTAAAAAGGGTATATGCAAGTACCTAAAAAAAAAAAAAAAAAGGATTAGAAAACTAAGGCCAAGAATAACTTGGAGAACAAAAGGTTTAAGACCTCTTTATTTTCCCCTCTCTCACAATTACGTTCCAAATTAAAAGATAAATTAGAGACGATGTCCTCAATGGTTGGAGAACACGGGTAACGCTAACTGGCAAAGTGGAGAGCAGAATGCACTCAGAAACCTGAGCTTCAGGCCCAGGTCGGTTCCTGATCTTGATCGAGTCACTTAAGCCATCTGGGCCTCCATTCCCTCATCCCTAACATAAACAGTTGGACAAGCACAATTTCCAGTTCCTGGTCTATAAAGTTTGAGACTAAGTTATCTTAAAAAATAATTTCCAAAGCATACCTATGGATAATACACTCTGGTTTTTTTTGTTGTTTTTTTTTTTCACTTAAAGGGCTCTAACTTCCACTGAGGACTGTGGCCCCAATGTTTCTCCTGGGAAGGGACATTCACTTCATCCCCTTTGAATCTCCAGCCACACTTAGTACAGGTGACAGATATTTGTGAAAATAAAGTTGAATTAAATTATTGCGTCCCCTATGCCTGAGAGATGACCTATATAGACCGTGTTCCTAGAAGTTTGCTAATTAAGTACCAATGTGGTTTGAATCATTAATGTAAGAAATACCTATGGCTTAGGTGACCTGGACAATCTAAATTCTGAAATGAGGGCAGGATGAGATGGAGCCAACAGGCTAAGGCATGTCTCAGTCATGTGTCAGAGAGGGTCTGGAGTAAGCTTGTCTTTCAGATACCTATAGGACATTTCTGTCTACCCCACCCCCACCTAAAGGACTTAGCTCTAAATTATAAAGTACATTTATGTTCCTCTAAGTAATGTTCTATCCTCCCCCACAACATGGTCACTCATTTTGTTCACATCATAAAAGTAATTCACTCTTATTCAGAGCATTTTAAAAGTACAGAAAAATTTAAGGAAGAAAAGGCTTCTATAATCCCTCCCACCGAGGCACTGCTGATAGTGTAATAACTCCATTCTGACCCTCGGTTAATGTATGAACACACCCTGGCAGACTCTTTCTTTTAAACATAAGGGTCTTGAGAAACCCAAAGAAAACTATAAAGATAAGGGGTTAATGATGGCCTTGGGAAACTCAGAGGAACGATGAGAAAAAAAGAGATTAATGGTTGCCCTGACCTCTAACAAGCTCCTCTCTCCCCCTTCTCTGTATCAGCCCCCCTTAATGGTGCCAAAAGCGGCGTCAAGAGAATGTAGTTTTTTTTCTGTAGTTTGTGCCTTTAAAAGTGGGCAATGAAGAAGGCTCGGGGCTGAGGATTTGGGGAGAGACCCCCAGCCCACCATGTAATAAAGTGTTCCTTTACAATTCGGCTGTGTGTCTCTGGTTATCTCACTGACAACCTTACAACAATAGTTCAGAGTAGGTTCTTCTGTTCTTCTATGGATACATAGATATCTTCACACACACGCAGAAGTGCTTTTGCTATAAACAGGTTTTTGTCTTTTATTTTTAACTTAAAAGTTAGTCATTTTAAAGTAGCTGTTTATATGCTACTGTTTATTTCAAGAACACCCATAAAGAGGGACAAGCAAAACCTACCTAAAGGACCTACCTTACCAGATCTTCTCTGAAGAGGTCCCACCGTCCAAGACCAGTAGGATAAATTGGCCAAACAGCGGGTCCCCCTTCCCAAAATGTCCAAGCAGGATACATAATATCATGGTACTCTGATGTCTTCAATGGAAACAGAGAGTTTGTTTTAAATCAGCCTCAGAACAGAGGGAAAAGCAGCCAACTGCATTCATGCCACAGGATCTAGACAAAGCCCTTGCAAGCCCTAGTGCTGCACTGTCAAAAGTATAGCTTCTCTAGTCTGCAAAGTCTAGACTTTAGGTATTAAAGGGCAAAAATGACCATGCGTAAAAATTCATGGGCTCACTGAATCCCAGAACTTGAAATTGCACTAAAGGTCAACTTTTCCAGTTCCACAAAGTTCTGTTTTTCTAGAGGATATCCATTGTTAGGATTTTTAGTTTAAGAAAATAATATACACAATTCTGAACAATCACATAATTCTCATCTTTTAACTGCTACTATACTTGCAGCGTATTGTGTCTCACCAGTTCTCGGTTATTTTCTAGAAGAATCTTTTGAGAGCAAGAATTAGGAAATAACAGTGCAATGGTTAAGAGCGTGGGCTCTTGAGACAGATCATCTGAAACTGAATGTTGACTATACCTCTTTTCAGCTCTAGACAAGTTATTTAATCTTTCTATGCCTCCACTTCCTTATCACTATAATGGGAGAAATAATTATATTGATAATACTATCTATATAATAGGTTTGTTTTGAATATTAAATGAGTTAAGCATGTAAAAAGCTTAGAACAGCATAGTAGGTACTCAAAAAGTGTTACTACTACCCAACACTGTGGCATTGTTGAGCTCACATTAGTTGGCCAATAAATTCTTGGTTATTCATCTATAAGGGTTAGAAGTGCTGATGGGCAGAATAGAGTAAGGGGTGTTATCCCACATCTTTTGAAAAAGGTTTGAAACCATTTGTTCCCTTTTTATGATTACTTATGTTAAAATTCTGGCCACCCACCCTGGCCAGTTAGCTCAGTTTGTTAGAGCATGATTCTGATACCCCAAGGTTGCAGGTTCAATCCCCATTCAGGGCACATACAAGAACCAATGAATGTATAAATAAGTCAAACAACAAATCAATGTTTCTCTCTCTCTCTCTCTCTCTCTCTCTCCCCTTCCCCCCATTCTCTCTCTCTCTCAAATCAATAAATTTTTAAAAATTAAAAAGAAAAAAACAACTCTGGCCACTGATAAACCTCTAACTCTTCTGTTTCTCCTATCAGAATTACACACACAATGTGCTGTTTGCCTTCTCTCAAATACTTAAACAATGGTATGTGATTCATCAAACAGCTTAGATACAGCTGTCAATGGAAGCTGCACAATCACTATAAAGTTGACAGACGAAAACCCTTCCTTTGGAAACTAGGAGTCACTGGTTAAAAAAGGAAGGAGGGAAGTAAAGATGAAAGGAAAATTGGTATACTGATGGTCATACTTTATCACCCACAGAAACAACAGATAAATAACAACATCCTTACTGACTTACATGGGAGCCTCTATTTGTTCCTCTGGAAGGCTTTTTTGACAAACAACGGGACCAAGCACTTTGGAGAAAGGAAGCTAAATCATGGGAAATGTAACACAAATGTGGCCTCAGGCCATTGCCATACAGGAAATAAACACGTCTAGAGAGAAAGTAAACTGTGATAAAGAAAAAGTGGGGAATAAAAGGTCTCTGCTTTTCTCAGAGTCCACAGGGTTTTTCTAAACCCACTTTTCCCCTGTAGAATCTTCTACCCACTTGCCTCTAGCCTCCCCCACCCCTGCCCCCAAATGCGTTCATGCTTAGTCTCTAGGGAACTATCCCTGCCAATACACCATTTACAAGAACATGAGCATTGGCAAGATATTAACTGTCCCAACTTCTCTAAGCCCACAGATGTGTCCTAGTACTCCTAGTCCTCTATAACTAGGCCCAAAGATCACCCACTCACAAAGCCCTCTCGGATATCCCAGGCCTATCCGCTCAATGTGCTGCTTGGACACAAACTGTGTGGAGTTACCTAATACCTTTGGTTTCACTGTTAGACAGGCTCGGCTCCTGGGATACAGTGGCAGGTAAGCCAGATAATATCCAATACTGTGGCTAATGTATATAATGTAGGAGGTCAACAAATATTTTTGAATGTATTCTTTAATTCCAAGCCCATGAGCTTTTGTGGGCCCTCTAAAGGATCTCTGAACCCCACTTGCAATGTCCTATAGGTTCTTCAGGCCTCTCTTTCCCTACCCTCCCCATCCCTAGTCCTATAGACACTTAAGCAATCGCATATTATTTACAGATCTTCAACCCTGTCTCCTCAGTCTTATTGCTCAACTACAGTGAAGCTAATAGGGACACAGACCTGTTCCTGAATCTCAGGCCTCATCCTCAGCCTGACCCATTAGACTCTGTCATAGGAAAGTCATCTGCTCATATCCCAGAGGAGTACTCTGCATCTGCTCACATGGCTCTTACTTACTTTGCTGAAGGAGAAGACTGGAATGGCAGGCTCCATCCATTTAGGAACCTGAGGATAATCTCGTACATTGATCACCATCTCCATGTCAGGGAGGCGCCCGATAGCTTCCAAAATGAAGTGTTCCACACCACTACACCTGTCAGACAGAAATACCACAGAGTCACCAGAGCACTGCCCTCTAGGACAAGGCAGTGTCCCAAGCACACTTCCTTTTTTTTTTCTTTATTGATTTTAGAAAGAGAGGAAGGAGAGAGAGATAGAAACATCGATGAGCGAGAACATTGATTGGTCACCTTCTGAATGCCCCTCACTGGGGATTGGGCCCACAATCTGGGCATGTTCCCTGACTAGGAATTGAACTAGCAACCTCTCAGTTCATGGGATGATGCTCAACCAACTGAGCCACACCAGCCAGGCCAGGCATACTTTTAAAGTAAGACAAGCCAGTGTTCACATAATCAGCCTACTGCCAAGTCTCCTGAAAGCAGTGCTCCTCAAAGGACTGTTCCACTCTCTCATGTAGAGTAAGTTATCTTCCTAGCTAAGCTGCCCCGGCTTCCAATACTTCACAACATTTTCCAACTGGATCCTCATAAGTTTGAAAGGAATATTATTGCTACTCCTACCACCACTTCTATGTTCATTTCTAGTTTCTTCCTTTGTTTCCCCCCTATGGAATATGTTAGTAAACAAGACACAAATTGTGATTGGAACTGAAATGGCTAATTTTCTAATTGTATCCCTTGGGTTTGCTTCTTACAAGACATTATTTTTTGTCCTACCTTAATTAAGTCTCACAGTTTATGAGGAAAGATAGGAAGCCTTTCATTACCTTCAACCTGAAATAAAGAACACTATCAAAATCAGTTTTGCAAGCCAGAAAAAAAAAGTCATGTACACAATCATGAAAATTAGAATACAGCATTCTGGCTAGACTCCCCAGGAATCCTCAGAGGATTTCCAGAGAGAAAGAGAGGATAGCCCTGGCCAGTTTGGCTCAGCGGTTAGAGCATCGGCCTGCGGTCCAGGGAGACCTGGGTTCGGTTTCCACTAAGGGCGTGTACCTCGGTTGGAGTTTGTCCCTGGCCCTGGTTGGGTTGTGCGGGTGGCAGCCACCACTTGATGTGTCCCTTTCACGTTGATGTTCCTCTCTCCTCTCTCTCTCTCTCTCTCTCTCTCTCTCTCTCTCTCTCTCTTCCTCTCTCTCTCCCTCCCACCCTACCTGAACAAAAAATGGAAAAATGTCCTCAGGTGAGGATTAAAAAAAAAAGAAAGAGAGGATAGACTGGCAGCTCAGCTTTTCTGCCCCATCCTTTGAGGTTCTGACCAGCATTATACTGGGAGCAGCATTCTAAGGCTTGACCAAAATTTTCTGGCAGCATGAAAATGAATGATTTAAAACATTGATTTATATATAGGGAGATAACTGCAAAAAAAAGAAATTTTCCATAAACATAAGAAAAGACCCTCAACTGTATTAATAATAAAGAAATTCCAAAAAGGCCTGGCCAGCGTGGCTCAATGGATTGAGCATCGTCCCATGGACTGAGAGGTCCCGGTTTGATTCCCTGTCAGGGCACATGCCCAGGTTCCAGTCTCAATCCCCAGTAGGGGATGTGCAAGAGGCAGCTGATCAATGTTTCTTTCTCACCTCAATGTTTCTATCTCTCTCTCTCACTTCCTCTCTCTCTAAAAAATCAGTAAAAACATATTAAAAAAAGAAAAAACAATTCTCAAAAGCCAACCTTGTACAAATAGAGAACTAAATGGTGGTACCAGGGGATGGGGAGTAGGGCACAGGACAGATGTTGTTTAAGGGTACAAACTTATTTACTCTAGGTAAATAAGGCCTAGATATCTAATACACAGTACAGTAAGTCCTCACTTAACATCAACAGATTCTACAACTTTAAGTGTGACAAAACCAATTTTACCATAGACTAATTGATATCAACAGGAGTTAAGCTCCTACAAACAATGATATTCCAATATTTGAAGACCTGCTGTGCAGTGTCCAGGAACAAAAATATTGCATTATAATCACCAAACTTGCTAAGAGACTAGAATTAAATTATGTCAACTACTGGATTTCCAGTCAAGATGGCAGCGTAGTTAAACGCGGTATCACGTCCTCCCACAACCACATCAAAGTTAAAACTAAACTACAGAACAACCATCATTCAAAGCTGCCTGAAATCAAGCTGAATGGAAGTCTTACAACTATAAAATGAAAGAAGCCACTTCAAGACTGGTAGGAGGGGTGGAGGGGAAGGGGCTGGTCCCACACCCTTGTGTGCCAGATAAAAACTAGGAGGATACCTTGGCTAAAAAGGTCCTCCCTGAGGACCGAGGGGTCCCCGTCCCACACCAGGCGCCCTGCTCAGGGTTCTAGTGCCAGGAAGAGAAATCCCATAACTTCTGGCTGGAAAAACCAGCAGGAACTGAGGCACAGGGAGGATGAGGCAGCTGGAGCCCCAGGCAGCTCCACTTAAAGGGCCAGCGCACGTACTTACTGGGACTTGCTCCATCTAAGCTCAGAGGGGAAGCAGCTTCAGGGGCACCAGAGACATACAGGGAAGAACTGGGCTGTTTGGCATTGGAGCAAGGGCTGGAGAGGGGGCATTCTCCTAGACAAACATGCTGTCAGAGGCCTTTGTCCCTTTGATCCTTTGTTCCTGGGGCAGGAGACAGCCGCCAGATCTGGGACTCCAGCAACTTGGCTCACACTGTTTGCCCCTTTCTGGTGATTCCATGAGGCCCCGCCCCACCCAACTTTCAGGCCCACCCAAGCTGTTGCCACTTGCTTAACCATAGGATTGGCCTGTCTTGGATCCTGCTTCAAGTTTTCCTAAATTCTTTCAAACAGGCAGCATATGGTCTCAGATAGGCCCATATCTCTCGTTAAGTAATGCATAGAAAGAAAGACAGGGAGGCAGCCAAAATGAGGAGACAAAGAAACAGGTCCCAAATGAAAGTACAGAAAAAAACTCCAGGAGAAGAACTAAGCGACATGGAGATAAGCAACCTAACAGATGCTGAGTTCAAAACACTGCTTATAAGGATGCTCAATGAACTTAGTGAGAACCTCAGTGAACTTAGTGAGGGCCTCAAGAGCATAAAAAAGGACCAGTCAGAAACGAAGGATGCACACTCAGAAATGAAGGAAGCACTAACTGAAATAAAGAATAATTTACACAAATTCAATAGTAGAGTACGTAAATCCAAGAAGCAAACGATTAATGTGGAATATAAGGAAGCAAAAAACACCCAATCAGAACAGCAAAAAGAAAAAAAAATTCAAAAAATGAAGATAGTGTAAGGAGCCTCTGGGGCAATTTCAAGCATGGCAACATTCGCATCTTAGAGGTGCCAGAAGGAAAAGAGAGAGAACAAAAAAATCGAAAACCTATTTGAAACAATAATGGCAGAAAACATCCCTAACTTGGTGAAGGAAACAGACATACAAGTCCAGGAAGCACAGACAGTCCCAAACAAGATGAACCCCAAGAGGCCCACACCAAGACACATTATCAAAACGCAAAAGATTCAAGACAAAGAGAGAATCTCAAAAGCAGCAAGAGAAAAGCTACAAGGGAACCCCCATAAGACTGTCAGCTGATTTCTCAAAAGAAACTTTGCAGGCCAGAAGGGAGTGGCAAGAAATATTCAGAGTGATGAAAAGCAAGAACCTACAACCAAGATTACTCTATCCTGCAAAGCTGTCATTTAGTATCGATAGTCATATAAAGAGTTTCCCAGACAAGGAAAAGCTAAAGGAGTTCATCACCACCAAAACATTATTATATGATATGTTGGAGGGTCTTCTTGAAGAAACAGATAAAAAATATGAACAAACGAAATGGCAATGAATACATATCTATCGACAATTGAATCTACAAACAAAATAAACAGGCAGAACAGAAGCATTCTCATAGATACAGAGAACATTTTGTTGGTTGCCAGATGGGAAGGGGGTTGGAGAAGTGAGTGAAAAAGTTGAAGGGATTAAGAAGTACAAATTGGCTGCTAGACTGATAAACCTCAAAGGGAAGGGGGTTTGGGGGTGGGAAGAAATAAACCAAAGAACTAATATGCATATATGCATAACCAATGGACACAGACAACAGTATGGGGAAAGGCGGGAGTGGGGAGGAGGGTGTCAATGGGGGGAAAATGAGGAACCTCTGTAATACATTCAACAATAAAGATAAGCTTTAAAAAAATACAATTAAAAAAAAAATTATGTCAGAAGATGGCGGTGGGCAGGACTGGAGGGAGGGTGAGTGTGTGAGAGAGTGTGAGTGGATGTGAAGGTGGATGACCAAACCCGAGCAGTGCAGAGCCACGGAGCAGAAAGTTCCTGTGCTGTGGATGGGAGCAGCCGGCTACCGCGGTAAGCAGCCCTTCAGAGCGCTTCTTCCTGCACCGCGGGGAGGTCCCACCATTTTAGAGGATCCCGGGAGGAAGAAGTGGGATCAGCTAGGGCCCAGCAACCTGAGCCCACCAGTGCACCTGGCACCATCGGACCAGTGGACACTCTGTGTCAAAACAGACCAGTGCCTAGTAGTAGAGTTCCCAAGGTGCTGGTCGCGGTAGCCGCAGACAGCCCGGAGCCAGCACTATCCCTCTTCTTAGCAGCCTGATCAGAGTTGAGATATATCCCCAGCAACAGACGCTGGGGAGCAGAAATCCATCCCAAGGCAACAGAAGCACAGACCAGCAGCTGAGACCCATCCACAAAATCTACAGCAAAAGCTAAGCAGGAGTTGAACCCCACGGGGCAGCAGCACTCTCCAGCCTCCAGCAGCGGGACCTGGGGCTCCACAGAGGCCTGTGTGGTCCAGTAGCCCACAAGAGCAGTGGGAAGCCAGAGCCCCAGAGAAACTGGTGCAATCCAGCTGCCCACCCGTGGGAACTGCAAGGTGCGGGGGCACCAGAGAGGCCTGTACGACCCAGCAGGGACTGTGCCATCCAATTACCCATAGGACCTGCAGGGTGCTGACGCACTAGAGAGGCCTGTGTGACCCAGCAGAGAATGTGCAATCTAGTTACCCATGGGGCCTGTGGGGTGCTGAAGCACCAGAGAGGTCTGTGCGATCCAGCAGGGAAAGTGCCATTCAGTTACCCATGGGACCT